CATACCTGTACAAACAGAACTTTGTATGTTTTCGATGTTCTGTGTAATGTGAAACAGTCTCTCGAACAGAATGTGCTGATATACACGGTAAAACAAAAACAAAATTGTAATTGTGAAACAAGCTTTCAAAATTCGCGTTCAGCACAGACAATGACTTTCAAAAATTGGAACAATCTTAATTGTGGTCCCAATAATGATAATAATATACAGTATCATCATCTTATTCTTAAATCAATGATATAAAATTGATTTCTGACTTCATTAACATCTTTTCTATTCCTTAACCACAAAGCCATCAGGGCAGATTTAGCATCAGTACCTGAAGCCTTTGAATCAAGCACTTCTTTTCTTTCAGAAGAGGGTGTTTATGTGTTGGTTATTTCATATAGTGGAACTCCAGTAGAAATGTATATCATGTCTGGGGTTTAATAATGTTAATACAATTATACCTTTTTATGAAAAATACTAATGATGACTGATTAGTTTAGACTTAAGGTTCAATCAAAAATTTGACTTGTAGTTTACCTCATATAATATTCTACCATTTCTTTTCTGACCTATATATATACTGAGTTGGACAGTGCTGTACTGGACATGTACAGGTTTCATAAAATCTCTGAAACCCTTTTTTAGCACTATTGGGAGTTTTGTTTTATGAAATGCTGCTGTAACATACTGATATCATGGATATTTATACACATTTTGTGATATTGTTCAATCTTGTCTAATAAAATGCTTTTCTAACTTGATTTTATGGGTCCAATGATATTGCAGTAAAGGCCATTTTTTTGTAAATTCCTATGAAAAGAATCTATTGACAAACCTTAACAAGACATTCACCTGTCAATTCCTATAGAAGTATTTTCTTGCTACACTCACCATAAATCAATAATGAACCACCATACCGATGACATCACATCTTCCAAATGTGACAAGACACACCCTCTAGGTTACATTAGTCAACTTCTACATGGTCTGACATTACAAATCAACAAGCTGTATATCACAACATTTAATTTCCGATAAACATTTTCTGATTGTACAACAATCATTATGAAAATCTGTCCTGCTACTACTATACATGCTTCAGTAAATTTTTTTTATATAACACCGTATTAGAATAATTATTCCATTCAATAACAGTTCTTATAATTGATCCCTGGTTTGATTCCACAAATAATAATGAAAAAAATAGATCTTACAGTATGATGTATATCATTGCTGAAATTTATCTGAAGAGTATGACACTGAAGAAACAAGCATGGAAACACTTAACACTATATTTTATGACCTTAACCCTCATTCTTGACTTTTCACATAAGCCAAGTTCCAATATACTTTTACTAAAATATCAAGTAATTTATTGCATTTATCAATCTAAACAAAGTACTGCATTCAACAATTAAGTACTTTTAGACATCTTAGCTTTTGCCATCCAATTTCTCAAACAAAGCTTGTACTACTTATCTTATCAGACACTATCCATCATTTATTATTTCCATTTCTTTCTAGTTCAGTAAATACCATCTCAGAAACCAATATATGACAGCAAAGATGGTTCTTCAACTTTGACCATCTAATAATAAAATAAACCATAGTGATTTTAGGGATTCAGATATTCTAGTCCTGGTCTCATGCTTTTCTCTGTAAAACTTGTCCATATTTCCAGAAAAAAATATATCACTGGCTTATGGGACTGACCAAAATTTTGGAAAGTGTGTTCTGGATTCAGTTGAAAAAAATCTTACAAAAATTACTGAATAATTTGTCTTCCTTTATTAATTCACATCCATATATATATCACACCATCTGAAATCTCCACCAGTTAAAATATCGACAGGAAATAGAAAGTAAGATAGCCTATCACATCAAGTTTCCCGAAAGACTTGTTTAGTATAATACTCTGGGTCAACATCAACTATGGCTCAATAACATAATTCCCTTAGTAACATTAATCAATAACAACCTAGAAGTTTGGGGCCATACAAAGGGGAAATCAATACATTGAACAGATCGAAGTTACTGGCTTTGCTTGACTGAGTCAATTCTAACAATCGTCTTAGCGTCTTTCCTCGGGGTCTTTAAGAATTTCCCATACATTACGCCAGAAGAAATTTTGTGTAAAAGGACAGAGGACAATATAAAGACTTAAAACCCTGTGACGAAAAGTCCTTACCATGTAATTAAAACTTCAATATTTACTTCTCCAAGCAACACAACTGAAAATGACAATGTTAGTTAGATGAAAAAAATTCTTTTGTTAAAAATCAATGTTTTAAACCTCAGCAGTTAAATCAAAACAGACCAAGGGTCAAAATAGGATAATAAAACATGTTTCACACATTGTATACAAGTATAGGGAAATGTTCCTACTTTGCAATACTGTTTAAATCTTTAGAATTTAGTATTCAAGGCAGTGTTAGTATTAATAATTGTCTGCTTTGCTATCAAAACGACCCAAGCTCCACAACCCTGTCTATAGCAAGCAAGGCAGGGGACCCTCCTCTAGTTGACTTTATTTTTAAGTTTTTATCCTGAATAAGCCTGAAGGTTCAGCCATGTGCAAATTCTTATTTAAACTCTGTCAGTGGATGGGAGTTTTAGGCAATTGTAGGACAATAACATAGCATTTGTATGTAACTCTTTCATATTAATCAGCAATTTATTACCAGGCATGGGATCATTGCTGGACAGTTCACTTTGAGGTAGTCATGGGATGATAATCATATATAATTGATTATCTAGTTGTTTAAGCTCATCTGATGCTATGATTAATTACAATGTTTTCATAATCACTGCTACTCTACCTTAATACTTTCTTGTGCTTTAGCCAAAACGAAAACCATATTATCCAAAAATAAAGATGCCAATTGCCAATAGCATTCATCCTTATGTAAATTCTAGGTGAGGTATTTACAGAAAAGAGAATGTTAACAGAAATGCCAGAGTATGCATTCACATTCTATAAATATTGGAACAGTCAGCCGATTATGTAAAGGATTAACTACATCAGAAAGCTTATCCAATTTAAACTGATTATTCATTTTGGATTTTAAGCAATAACCCATCACTACTTTTTATATCCTGTCTTTAAGATGTATGCATGAAAAATTCAGCATGAGCAAAATATGAAAAGACTCAAACTAGCTGCCTTTCAGGGTGGTCAAGTGCTGATGTCGCAACAAGTTACTATTGCTTTCCTTCATGGATACCTTTATATATTAAACTATATTTAGACTAAATATACATGCCAAAGACAACAGGGTTGACAGAGCTACAAATATGAACTAGTCCCTTTATCCTTCAACATTTCTCAAAAATCTAATCCTTTATCATACTTGGCATTAATCTGTAACCTACCAAATCAGACAAATTGTTATGCAAGGATCACCCTTTAATGATGAAAAGAGGAAGACTTCCAATTCTATTAGCGTTTAGTTTCAATTTTGGAAAAGCTGAAGCTAACTTGTGTACCTGGCTTGTATGACATATATAGTTGTGTGTGGTGGAGAATGGTGGGAGTAGGGGGATTGAAAAGGCATGTATTTGTATACCCTTACCAATAAAAATGGAATGCTACATCTTGCAGAAGTCTTGACAGATGTTCTTATATTACAATTACCTGTTAAGTACACATTCACAATTCATCACAATGAGATATATAGCATATAGAGCAATCTGGGTAGATAGCACTTTACACAAATGGTGACAAAACCCATCTGCTACATCTCCAAACCATAAAGTAATTCTAAATAGTAACAAAGCCTCCCCATATTAAGCAGCCTATGCCTGTAGGTTGTCTGAATACATTGGTCATGTAGAGATTCTCCATTCATCTACAGGTAAATAGTAGCACCTCACTTAAATGCCTCCCCAAATTAAGCAGACCATGCCTGTAGGCTACCTGAATACACTGGTGATGTAGAGATTCCCAATTTACCTACAGGTAAATATATCAGCACCTGACTTAATCATTCTCTATCAGCAGGTAGTGTAATGCCTTCACAGTAAAAGTTTACAGTTATGCATTAAAAGGCAACAAAGGGCATTCATAACCAAAATTGTAACATATGCTGAGATTATCAAGATGCATATATCAAAATGACACATAAAATCTCCATTACCATACAGAAAAAAAATCATACATATTGGTGTTGCTGATATAAATTATTAGTTAGTACAGCAAGGAAATAATATATTTAATGTAATCTTAAGTTTAAATTTAAACATGTCCGATAGACATTGAAAGAAATGACATGCTTTAACTAGCTTCAAATTACTAGAAGATAAAACATCATATCAAAATTGATGTACAAGAACACTAAACATCGTGACTTCATTTATCAATCAAGCTTTGGTGATTTTGTAAATACTCATCATCTCCCATGCAAAGCAGTAAGCGTTGCATGAACCTAACTTTATACGATATAAATTTTAAAAGTTTTTCAGGTCGATAGTTAAGACTTTAACTCCACACGTTCAACAGACTTTGGAGTTCGAAATTGATCGATAACAGAATTCAGCAGTCTAATCAAAAGTTATATGGTTACGATTCAATGTACAGATGAAATGGTAATTTATAACACATGTGATTGTCGAATGTCAGCATTTGAAAACATATGCATCGTCGCATGGTTTCTCAGCCTTGACAAAGGCAAATTCTATTTATAGAACCAAACGTAAACACAAAAGGAAGAGGCACCCCAAGGGTTTCTGACACAGTTTATTTGCCGTTTAAAAAATACGCCTTGACGGATTTGTCCTCATAGACTAAAATATTTTTACTTTAGTTTATAGAAATATTCGATAATATCTTTATTTCATTTCGTTCATAATTTTGACATATCAAGCTGTCCGCTTAGCGCATTAGATCGGTAACTGGAGTTTACCGCCATTTCCTTTTTATGTCGACAACGTGCCCAGCGCAGACGATGCATAGGTTATCGCAGCAAATTGCATCATTACAACTACATGAACCGACACAATTGTGGGTTACTTACATTTGTAATCAGACAACGAAAGTATCCAGAACACAATCAGTTTGAAAATGAACGGTTTTATGCGGATTTTCGATCATTGTGTAAAGAAGCGGTTGCCACACTCCCTGTTCGTCTGAACACTGACCTAGGAATGTCGATTGACGAAATAGTCACGAGACGCGGGTAAATTGAAAATAGATTATCTTAAACGAACGAAACGAAATAGAGATTCCTTTCGTTTAGGATATTTTATATCATTATTCTCTCGGAGTGTGTCTATGATTGTTTTAGTTGAAATACACTTTCTTCGATACGAAACCTTCAACAGAAATATAGTGGAAATTTATGAGCCTGAATGTTTTAACTTGCTTAGTACGTTTAGTCTACGTTTTTGACTGACTCATTTGATATCTTCCGTGATGACGTCGACTTCGGAAACGTACGACACCCTTAAAATAACATGCTATGATTTTATATCTTTTTGGTTTTTTGTCTTTTATCTTATTTTTTTTTTGTTTTTTGTTTTTTTTTTCTTGGAATTTTGACGAAACCTTAAATCACCACGAGTACAATACAACGAGATTCTAAATTGTCTCGAAATGACATTTAAGGACTGTTTCAGCTATGTCGATTGAAATATATCATATTGCCATAATGCTATATTTTTTGTAAAAATATCAATAAAATACACAATAAAAGAATTACGTTATCGGATGTGTAAAAAATAAAGTAGAAATGAAAGCTTGACACCGAAAAAATAAAATACAAATTATATGTATTATTATCTTACTTTGACAGTAAGCACTAAACACTTCGATATTATAATGATTAAATTAAAACTATCAAAATTTTCTCAGAAACCATAAGGAAAAAAGTTCTATATCAGATCACAACACAATAAAAATATTGTCAGGTACCTGACTTTCTCGTATAGTTCCTTGGTTAACGTACGAAAATCCAAACGCCTGGAGTATTTATATATATATATATATATATATAATTATTTAACATACTTTCGACATGAATGCTTTTGTTAACTTTGTGGCGTATTACTTACAGTTGGAGTCAAATAAACAGGCAAAACTTTATCAAATGAAAAACGCTTAACTTTGAATGTCTTCTAATATATGTGTTGTCGATAGGGATTACCAAAATTTCTGAGAACTATGATTATTTATATAAATAGTTTTATAAAATTTTGAGAAAGAAAGTTACTGGTGTTTATTTTTCAGAGTTCCTCGTGGCATATTGACGTGTCACAACTGATTTCTGGATTTCGAGTGTTTAGTTACCGCGCTCTGAAGTGGACTGTCCCCATTTAAGCAAGCGACTACACACACAATACACAGGTACCCACTATCTCTATAAGGCCGGATTAGGTGTTTATACTGATCAACTCCACGACAGTATCCCGTATAGATAATAAGGCATGTTTTCCTCATTTGTTTTTCTCTCATTAAAAAGGAAAACACACGAATAAAAAAAAAATCCACAAGTTACGCATGAAGACGGGTAGCGAATGAATAATTTCAATTAACAGAAGCCATACAATATGTCACTTTAAAACTAAGACTTAAACGATTCAAGCTAACCAGACTTTCTGTAAACCGTTTCGTCCTCATCGTGCGTCACTGATAGCGCACCTGTCTATTGTCACATCCGGGTAACCTTAATCTGCAGGTATTTCTGGCAAAAGTAGCTAAATACACGCCGATATTAGCAAGGACTGACATTGCTTTTCAGATAAAAGTGTCATTTTTTGGGCGATACGAACAACATGTGTTAAATAGTTAATGAATAAATCCTTATAAATAGTTTGGGTTTTTTTTATCCAATATTTTAAAAAATATTTCCTTGTTTCATAAAAAAGAAAAGAATAAGAAAATCGACGGCATATTTACGATGAAGATACTGTTCTAACCGGAAACAGCTTGATAAAACTTATGTGAATCTTAAAGAAATCAGGAACAATAACTGAGGCCTATCAGATAAATTTACATAATCACATGTTGCAAACCTATTCTCGTCTGAAAATCTCAAAATTCAATTTTAAATTTATCTATCGAACCCCACCCACATCCTTATGAAAGTTATATCAGTTAAACATTTTAATATAACACTGACACGGAAATTTGTTCGTAGAGTGTCACTTTCTTATTCTCTAATACATATTTTAAAAACGCGGAATTTCTACTTGTTATTTGTAAACAATTATTAATACAGGCTACCTATATACCACGATGTTTCACTCCATACAGAATACAATGTAAGATATCACGTCGTGAGAGGAAAAACAATCACTCAATCAGTGTATATTATCACGTCTTGTGGGGAAAACAACCACCCAACCATTTCATCAGTGTGTATTATCACGTATCACCCAACCATTTCATCAGTGTGTATTATCACGTATCACTGAACCAGTCCGTCATCGTAACGTGTCTGAGGACAACATCACTGAACAAGTCCATCATCGTAACGTGTCTGAGGACAACATCACTGAACAAGTCCATCATCGTAACGTGTCTGAGGACAACATCACTGAACAAGTCCATCATCGTAACGTGTCTGAGGACAACATCACTGAACAAGTCCATCATCGTAACGTGTCTGAGGACAACATCACTGAACAAGTCCATCATCGTAACGTGTCTGAGGACAACATCACTGAACAAGTCCATCATCGTAACGTGTCTGAGTACAACATCACTGAACAAGTCCATCATCGTAACGTGTCTGAGGACAACATCACTGAACAAGTCCATCATCGTAACGTGTCTGAGGACAACATCACTGAACAAGTCCATCATCGTAACGTGTCTGAGTACAACATCACTGAACAAGTCCATCATCGTAACGTGTCTGAGGACAACATCACTGAACAAGTCCATCATCGTAACGTGTCTGAGGACAACATCACTGAACAAGTCCATCATCGTAACGTGTCTGAGGACAACATCACTGAACAAGTCCATCATCGTAACGTGTCTGACGACAACATCACTGAACAATTATTGTATTCTAGGGACAGTATTTGATAACAGACTTTAATTACGAAGCAAGTTTTTCCAACTTATATTAATCACTCTTATTGACTTGGGTAGATAAAACCGACGTATCCGGCGTAATCTATATTGATACTATTTATACACTTTACAACAAAGAGTACACTTCTTAACAGATTTTGTATAAGCAGTACTTACCAGAAGTATTTTCTGATAGAATGTTTTAAAATACATTTAAAAAAACTGAAAAAAATGTAACACTCATAAAAGAAATTCCAATATTTGCGAGGCTACTTATATGTGTATAATAAATTGATCAGATTATTTCGTTAGTTTTCTGTTTATTTGTTATGGAATCAAACACAGAAGTTCTCTTGTAATTTGGTGTTGTAATTAACACCATACATTAATAATTAATTGATATCGGCTCCTAGAAATGTGTCAATCTTATTTGATATCTATAAGAACTAACACTCGTTACTCGTTTCTCTTCAATTCGTATTCAAACCTGACACTACGATTATTGCCGAGTGATTTTAAATCTATAAAACGATATACATATACACAGAGAATACGCGTAGATACGTTATATTTGTCCTTTGGAATATATTTGATCGGTTATGTGCAGCTTATAAATGTAGAGAACTTGACCACTAGGTTGTTTGTGTTACGGTGTATTCTCTCCGGTAGCTATTTCCCTTGGTATCTATTGTCCCTTGTATCTGAAGACTCGGGTAGATTAACACACTAGCAGTATTATCTTGTCAATCTGCGGAGAGTAAACGATTAAGCATGGCTTACCGATTAGAGTTCAATATACTTTTAAACCTGAATTATAGCACCGTCTACTGAAACTTAAAAAACAAACAGATATGTAAATGATGGTGAAATGGTAAATTGTAAACCGTTATATTGTGACTTGGTTGCATGGTTAAAATTATTTCAGGTCACTAAGAAACTCTTTTAACAGGTGACCAACAGTAAAATGTACAATATTTACAGTAGGAAATACACCACCACAGGTAGATCACATATCATGTGTCCAATATACATATATGCCAACGTGACAAATTGTTGACATGGACAGAATGTATGCAAATAAAGAATTATAAAAATGATTGGTTAATGATTGAAATACCAGAAATGTATAAAGAATATAAATATCTGACAACCAATAATGGAAGGAAAACTAAAACAGCCATTACTAAAATGTGAAAAAAATCCCATCTACTGTGATATACCAGTGGCATTGCTGAGTGATGATGGTCATAGTAACCTAGTGAAAAATGCCACCACGAAAAAAAAAATTAACAAATGGAATGCATTACAAAGGGGCGTATAACTGATATCGATGATGATATATTCACTGCAGCTTGTTTCGTTTCGTACACATTATTGTTATCTCGTGTCTACTTTTATATTGACCTACCAATTTTCAAACGCAGAGAAATATACTGTATCGTTAAATGTATATTTTGAATACCTCAAATACACTATTTACCTATAGAAATAACATATATTACTCTAACAGTGAAAATAATCTCGATACTTTTATTAGTAAATATTTTTACTACATCATGTGACTGTTGGTTTGAACAAAATGGCGACACATCGATGGTTTCCTGTCAAACCGGGAGTTTACGAGTTTGTAGCAATGGGAAGGATTATACATACAGATGTAAGACGTGACAATGTTATCGAGATAGGATTCTTTATCCTGCTTCCCACGAAATATATGATAAGAGACATATGGTATTTTTTGTGCTATATTTCAGGATATACTTATCGAAACCGACTTGAAACAATACAGTTCAGTGTATATATAAACAAATCTTTGTTACAGTATTTGTATGCCATACGTTTACTTCTTGTCTTCTACCGATTTATTTTATAGTGTTGAACATGTGTCGGTACATATGACTGAGTGAGTGACTAGACTTGGGTAAAACCCACTAATTACTTGAATCATATGTACTTGAATGCAGGAGTAAGGTTAACATCTGGAATAAAACTTTCTTCAGCTTCATTTTGATGCTCGAAGTACAGGAACTAAAACCCTTTGATCGTGGATCTCCTGAAAATTACATAAGACAAGTCTCGCATTAAGAGATTTTGCAGTAACCTTCCTTTTCCGAAAGGTTCTTACTATCAATCCACGATTTTACTTTTGTGCTGGTTGCGCTCTAAAAAGGTAGAAAGCACCCTTTGGACTACATGTGGTTTTCTGTTATACTAAAACTAGAAACATACATAATGAAAGGACTGGAAGCAAGACCCAGTGGAGACTTATTTAGTGTTACATTTGTGTTTGTTCACTAAGCTGTGAAGTCATTGAATCCCGGTCTCCTCACAGGTGTTATGTACAGGTGCCCCATTCACTTCCAGTCTGTTGTTAGCATTGATTTACCAATGTCTTGCCAGTTTAGAATTATTTTGTGGGCCAGTGAGAAGCAAAGCTAATTTTACAAAAAATAATATGAATAAATTGAAATGACTTTAATCATAAAGAAATATAAAAAGTATATATGTCAAACGAAAATTACTCAGCTTTCTAATGCCCCTGATTTAGAAGCAATTTTCTTCATATTTCGGGCTGAAAGTGGTATGTATATGTAGAATATGTAATATTTTAGTTCTTACTGAAAAATAAATGACTTCAACATATCAATCATTTATCAAAAAGGTAGCATGTTTAATTTGAAAATTATTAAGCTTATGTACTTTCAGGAAAAAGTAGTATTTAAACAAAGCAAGGCTTATTAATTCAAATTTATTTGCTGTAGCATTTTAAAAATATTTAGGCAGTCCCCTATCTCATCTGTTATGTCCCTGGAAAACCAACCATAAATGCAGGCTCAAAGATTTGGTTGGTTGCCTATTTGATCTTCAGCTATCCATTGCTTTTAATAACCTGGGGATTGTAGTCGAAATATGATGATGTAAAAATTTTGGGGATGAAATGGGGAAATAGGTATAGTGATAGGTTCATAAATTCATTCCACACTTTCTTGTTGTCATATCATGTGATTCTGTCAAAGTGTTCTGGACTGCTACCATGGGCAGCCATATTACCTGTATCAGAAATCCTTCAGCAAAATGTAAACATGCATGTGCTAACATATATGTAATGACAATAGATATTTTATCACTTGTTATAGAAGTTGTTTGTCATAGAAAGTTTACAATACTACTGAACATAATTATTATAACAATAAAAAAACCCAAATAAATCAAGAATAAAAAATATGCAGATACACATGTGTTTGCCAACGGGTAAATTTACTAAACAAACTTCTAATTGGCTGGGTTTCTAAAATAAGTTTAAGTATGTCAAGGTCTGTGATGTTAAAATCCTGTTGTGTTCTCTATCTGCTGGTACTTATTTATACTCTAATCAGCCTATCACACTAAAAATTCCAGGGTCCTGACAATTCAACATAAAGAAAGTTGTAGTGCAAAACAGGAGTTTTATACTCATGTATTGGGGCAAATTGCTGTATATTTTGACAATTCATTGCAAGGGTACAATGAAAAACAAAATCTGAAGAAATTGACCATTAAAAACAAATATCTTGCATTGATTGTTGTATACTATACCTCTATAAGGGGAAAATCCTCCCTCCAAAAAAGTAGAAAACACTACGACTCAATTCTATTTCATTGTCGCTCATTTGGAAATATAGTGTTTTATTTTTGATATCAGTACAAATGTACTTGTTTATTCATCAAGATAACAACAGTTAACCTTGACTTGTTACCATTTATATAGACAGATATATCAGTGAATAAGTAATGTGGGTCCATAGGTTTTTTTATCTGTATAGCATGACACTTTACTGAGATATACAAGGAGGAGTATTGTGTTTGGAGCTGAAAAATTAGAATAATCATCTAATGTTTCAAAATATCCATATCTAGAAGTTTGATGAGCCAAACTTGAGTCTTTCGACCATCACAGATTATGATCAAACAAGTCATATCGTTATGAATTTTATAAAGGATTCATGTGGGATTTTACTATGGTACCTAGAGATCTCTGCACATCACATCAACAAGGTAAGATAAACTTCTGAACAATGTACCATCAAATTGTCTGATATATTCAACAGTTTGGTAGGTATATGCTCCTTGTCTGCAAAGTTTGGCCAGAGAGTGAATACACAGTCTGTAATATAGACTAGGGACGACCCTTATTACACCTAGGGGTTGGTTGTTTTACCCTGGCATGGTGCTGATGCTGGATAATTATGGTAAATTGTATATGTGTGTGTATATGTAGGTAAACATAATAAGCTTTTATTTCATTTGTAAATATATACACACGAACACTAACACATTTTGATAAAGTCATCAAATGTTGCAATAGATAAATTATGATTGTGATAGCAGTTTGGTACTAATATTCATTTCAGATTAGTTGTGTGTACAGAGGTAGCTAGCCTATATACTAGAACGTTGTATTAGTGTAGATATTCTCATCAGATCATCTGCTGAGTGGAAAAAGTGCCCAGTCATTATTCATCCTACTGCTGTGCTACCAGGTAGAAAACCACAGGGTGAAGTTTGAGGTTGTTTTACTATGTAATTCTCAGTCTATAGGTACATATTTATTACATACATATATGTACCTAGTAAGTGTAAAGCAGTCTCGTTACTACTGTATCTTTACATATATTACAGATAATGTGTGTTAAAGTCTGGTTGGCTATTGTTTCAGTTGCCAAGTCTTACATCATGATGTCACATGTATGTGATGTGACACAACTAATAAAGCTGCATAGAGTGAAATATTAAAACATTTAAGATTCACTATCAGACAAGATGTTTTTCATGAATACATGGGAAATATATTTGAGTTATAGATGAACAGTATCTTATGATCAACCTAATATTTATAAAAAAGGTGACAAAAAGTTTTCATTTCATCTTGCTATAGTTTTAATACAGATAAAACAAAAAAGCTGAAATAATTTTCAATGCTTTATAAAAATAAGAATATGAAATTTCTATACCAGAGAATGACATTATTCAGTCTACAGATATATTATTCAACAAAAGAAATCACTGTGAAGAAAACACAGGCTTTATTTGTGATGTTGTTCCAGATGAGATAGGTTCAGCTGTGTCACCATGGCTAAACCGAGGACCTCTGCCCCTCAGCTGCTGAAACCCAGCCCTGTGTTACAACTGATAGCCGAGAGTGAAGAACGACTATGGACACGCCTTGATCTGACTGACAGTAATGAGCTCAGCATCCACTCACTTGATAAAGGCAGTCGTCTTCTCAGGTGAGTCAAAATCAATTCTTTCTTTAATGAGTTCAGTACCTGTTCTGAATCATCAAAACAGTGTGAGTCATCTGGGTGGAGAGCAGGGGGAGGGGTATAGGAGATGTATATTAATGTGTGATAAATCAAGTATGTTTTAAGGTTCGAAACACAACGAAAAGAACATTAGAAAAGATATGGAATCACTACTTCAGATAATTCAAGAACTATTGTTAACTGTTAAATTTTGTACTGGTCCAAGGGAAATAACCATCATGTATTTTAGCCAGAATCACCTTATTCAGACATAGTATGTTGTCTTACAGACATGGAAAAACAGTCAAGACTATCCACAGATACTTTGGTGATCTGGAGTAAGTATATGTTAAGTTATGGTTAGGAGTTGATGGGAAAATATTGAAATAAATTCATGTGTGCAGCATGATGCTGTTTTGAGAAGTTTTGTAATACAACAAATGATGTATGTTGTTCTTTGAAATCTTGATTTGATATTGTGTGTAGAAAACACCTGGCTGTGATACACACATGAACTTTCAACTTTTGATGTTTTGACCAAGCTGTATTTTTGGCCAAATCAAAAATTTTTGTGTTGAGCAAAAATTTGGAATCAAGAAGTTTGAAACTCTGAACAGACTCTAGACCTTGGGACATTTTTTAGTCTTGGATTCAGTGCTATCTAAAGATCTTACATTTCTACACAAATCTGGATTTCAACTCTCCTTAAGGATTGTTGCTGTGGAGTTTTATATCTATACCGCTATACAGACTCTTGATCAATGGAATTTCACTGGTTTTAATATGTATAGTAATATGTGATTATTTGATGATGGATAGAGACCTGGCTTATGCGGGGGTCAGTATTTTATTGTTGTAGGAGAATTCATCTGTCTAACCATGTAAGGTTTGGCAGGGTTTTTCACCTGTCTGACCATGTAAGGTTTGGCAGGGTTTTTCACCTGTCTGACCATGTTAGGTTTGTCCAGGGTTTTCACCTGTCTGACCATGTAAGGTTTGGCAGGTTTTCCACCTGTCTGACCATGTAAGGTTTGTCCACGGTTTCCCACCTGTCTGACCATGTAAGGTTTGGCATGTTTTCCACCTGTCTGACCATGTAAGGTTTGGCAGGGTTTTTCACCTGTCTGACCATGTTAGGTTTGGCAGGGTTTCCCACCTGTCTGACCATGTAAGGTTTGTCCAGGGTTTTATCCAGTATTCATACCCTATACTCCCACCCTGTCTAGCTAACAAGAGTGATGTACATGGTTTTGAGATATTTACTGTTATATGTATAATTTCTACTTTATTGTAATAGACTTTTAATGCAGATATACATTAAAACTAGCAATGTTGTTTATTCATAAGATTTAACTTTCTTACAGACAAAGGAAATGCTGCCTTTCTTTGACTGGCTTTAAAACCAAGTTTAACCAAGTCAGACTGGTAATGTGCTTTTTATTTGTTGTAAATATCATACAGATGATAATACAAATTGTTTGTTATACAGGAATATCATGTGCTGGTAATAATACACACACTTACTTACATTGTAAATACCATATATGTGATAATCCATCTGAAATTGTTGTGTGTGTGTATATATGTATATAAATCTAATATACTGGTAACCATACACATACCTACATTGTTTTATCAACTTTTTACAGGACCAACTTAGTAACTTTATTTTCATTATATCAAGTCTGATACTTTATTTAATAAACTTGAAAAGATAATCTTTAAATGTATCTGAAAATATGATTGGTGTAAGAACTTAAATGAAATTATTTACATGTATTTTTCGAAAATTTAAATAATTCAAAATATATTGATTACACAACTACATGTATATGGATATGTATCTCAATTACCCATAGAAGTGTGTAAGTCAGTGTTCTGTTACAGGTCCGCAATGATGGCAGGGATTCCGGAATAGAAGAAGGTAAATTGCCTGCAGACAAAGGAAGGGAGATAATCCAGAATTGTCATAGCGTAACTAAATGTTTTCAAATTAAAAAAAAAATGGCTTTTAATTTACAAAGTAATGCAGACAATTGTTTTAATTTGAAACTGCATTATAGTTTTACTAGATCAGAATAATATTTGGTTCACTGTAAGTTAGATAGAATGTAAAATCTGTAAACATAACAACAGGTACATTTGTATGTTTGTAAGTTAGACAGAAGATACAATTGATTGGTGATAACATTGAGAACAATGTCTGTAAGTTAGACAGAAGATACAATTGATTGGTGATAACATTGAGAACAATGTCTGTAAGTTAGACAGAAGATACAATTGATTGGTGATAACATTGAGAACAATGTCTGTAAGTTAGACAGAAGATACAATTGATTGGTGATAACATTGAGAACAATGTCTGTAAGTTAGACAGAAGATACAATTAATTGGTGATAACAGTGAGAACAATGTCTGTAAGTTAGACAGAAGATACAATTGATTGGTGATAACATTGAGAACAATGTCTGTAAGTTAGACAGAAGATACAATTGATTGGTGATAACATTGAGAACAATGTCTGTAAGTTAGACAGAAGATACAATTGATAGGTGATAACATTGAGAACAATGTCTGTAAGTTAGACAGAAGATACAATTAATTGGTGATAACAGTGAGAACAATGTCTGTAAGTTAGACAGAAGATAAATTTAATTGGTGATAACAGTGAGAACAATGTCTGTAAGTTAGACAGAAGATACAATTGATTGGTGATAACATTGAGAACAATGTCTGTAAGTTAGACAGAAGATAAATTTAATTAGACAGAAGATAAATTTAATTGGTGATAACAGTGAGAACAATGTCTGTAAGTTAGACAGAAGATAAATTTAATTGGTGATAACAGTGAGAACAATGTCTGTAAGTTAGACAGAAGATACAATTAATTGGTGATAACAGTGAGAACAATGTCTGTAAGTTAGACAGAAGATACAATTAATTGGTGATAACAGTGAGAACAATGTCTGTAAGTTAGACAGAAGATACAATTAATTGGTGATAACAGTGAGAACAATGTCTGTAAGTTAGACAGAAGATAAATTTAATTGGTGATAACAGTGAGAACAATGTCTGTAAGTTAGACAGAAGATAAATTTAAGATAAATTTAATTGGTGATAACATTGAGAACAATGTCTGTAAGTTAGACAGAAGATACAATTAATTGGTGATAACAGTGAGAACAATGTCTGTAAGTTAGACAGAAGATACAATTGATAGGTGATAACATTGAGAACAATGTCTGTAAGTTAGACAGAAGATACAATTAATTGGTGATAACAGTGAGAACAATGTCTGTAAGTTAGACAGAAGATACAATTAATTGGTGATAACAGTGAGAACAATGTCTGTAAGTTAGACAGAAGATAAAATTGATTGGTGATAACAGTGAGAACAATGTCTGTAAGTTAGACAGAAGATAAATTTAATTGGTGATAACAGTGAGAACAATGTCTGTAAGTTAGACAGAAGATAAATTTAATTGGTGATAACAGTGAGAACAATGTCTGTAAGTTAGACAGAAGATAAATTTAATTGGTGATAACAGTGAGAACAATGTCTGTAAGTTAGACAGAAGATAAATTTAATTGGTGATAACAGTGAGAACAATGTCTGTAAGTTAGACAGAAGATAAATTTAATTGGTGATAACAGTGAGAACAATGTCTGTAAGTTAGACAGAAGATAAATTTAATTGGTGATAACAGTGAGAACAATGTCTGTAAGTTAGACAGAAGATAAATTTAATTGGTGATAACAGTGAGAACAATGTCTGTAAGTTAGACAGAAGATAAATAAAATTTAATTGGTGATAACAGTGATAACAGAGAACAATGTCTGTAAGTTATACAGAAGATACAATTTATTGGTGATAACAGTGAGAACAATGTCTGTAAGTTAGACAGAAGATAAATTTAATTGGTGATAACAGTGAGAACAATGTCTGTAAGTTAGACAGAAGATAAATTTAATTGGTGATAACAGTGAGAACAATGTCTGTAAGTTAGACAGAAGATAAATTTAATTGGTGATAACAGTGAGAACAATGTCTGTAAGTTAGACAGAAGATAAATTTAATTGGTGATAACAGTGAGAACAATGTCTGTAAGTTAGACAGAAGATAAATTTAATTGGTGATAACAGTGAGAACAATGTCTGTAAGTTAGACAGAAGATAAATTTAATTGGTGATAACAGTGAGAACAATGTCTGTAAGTTAGACAGAAGATAAATTTAATTGGTGATAACAATGTCTGTAAGTTAGAATGATAAATTTAATTGGTGATAACAGTGAGAACAATGTCTGTAAGTTAGACAGAAGATAAATTTAATTGGTGATAACAGTGAGAACAATGTCTGTAAGTTAGACAGAAGATAAATTTAATTGGTGATAACAGTGAGAACAATGTCTGTAAGTTAGACAGAAGATAAATTAATTGGTGATAACAGTGAGAACAATGTCTGTAAGTTAGACAGAAGATACAATTAATTGGTGATAACAGTGAGAACAATGTCTGTAAGTTAGACAGAAGATACAATTAATTGGTGATAACAGTGAGAACAATGTCTGTAAGTTAGACAGAAGATACAATTAATTGGTGATAACAGTGAGAACAATGTCTGTAAGTTAGACAGAAGATACAATTAATTGGTGATAACAGTGAGAACAAGATACAATTAATTGGTGATAACAGTGAGAACAATGTCTGTAAGTTAGACAGAAGATAAATTTAATTGGTGATAACAGTGAGAACAATGTCTGTAAGTTAGACAGAAGATACAATTAATTGGTGATAACAGTGAGAACAATGTCTGTAAGTTAGACAGAAGATAAATTTAATTGGTGATAACAGTGAGAACAATGTCTGTAAGTTAGACAGAAGATAAATTTAATTGGTGATAACAGTGAGAACAATGTCTGTAAGTTAGACAGAAGATAAATTTAATTGGTGATAACAGTGAGAACAATGTCTGTAAGTTAGACAGAAGATAAATTTAATTGGTGATAACAGTGAGAACAATGTCTGTAAGTTAGACAGAAGATAAATTTAATTGGTGATAACAGTGAGAACAATGTCTGTAAGTTAGACAGAAGATAAATTTAATTGGTGATAACAGTGAGAACAATGTCTGTAAGTTAGACAGAAGATAAATTTAATTGGTGATAACAGTGAGAACAATGTCTGTAAGTTAGACAGAAGATAAATTTAATTGGTGATAACAGTGAGAACAATGTCTGTAAGTTAGACAGAAGATAAATTTAATTGGTGATAACAGTGAGAACAATGTCTGTAAGTTAGACAGAAGATAAATTTAATTGGTGATAACAGTGAGAACAATGTCTGTAAGTTAGACAGAAGATAAATTTAATTGGTGATAACAGTGAGAACAATGTCTGTAAGTTAGACAGAAGATAAATTTAATTGGTGATAACAGTGAGAACAATGTCTGTAAGTTAGACAGAAGATAAATTTAATTGGTGATAACAGTGAGAACAATGTCTGTAAGTTAGACAGAAGATAAATTTAATTGGTGATAACAGTGAGAACAATGTCTGTAAGTTAGACAGAAGATAAATTTAATTGGTGATAACAGTGAGAACAATGTCTGTAAGTTAGACAGAAGATAAAATTAATTGGTGATAACAGTGAGAACAATGTCTGTAAGTTAGACAGAAGATAAAATTAATTGGTGATAACAGTGAGAACAATGTCTGTAAGTTAGACAGAAGATACAATTAATTGGTGATAACAGTGAGAACAATGTCTGTAAGTTAGACAGAAATACAATTAATTGGTGATAACAGTGAGAACAATGTCTGTAAGTTAGACAGAAGATAAATTTAATTGGTGATAACAGTGAGAACAATGTCTGTAAGTTAGACAGAAGATAAATTTAATTGGTGATAACAGTGAGAACAATGTCTGTAAGTTAGACAGATACAATTAATTGGTGATAACAGTGAGAACAATGTCTGTAAGTTGGTGATAACAGTGAGAACAATGTCTGTAATAGACAGAAATTAATTGGTGATAACAGTGAGAACAATGTCTGTAAGTTAGACAGAAGATACAATTAATTGGTGATAACAGTGAGAACAATGTCTGTAAGTTAGACAGAAGATAAATTTAATTGGCGATAACAGTGAGAACAATGTCTGTAAGTTAGACAGAAGATACAATTGATTGGTGATAACAGTGAGAACAATGTCTGTAAGTTAGACAGAAGATACAATTAATTGGTGATAACAGTGAGAACAATGTCTGAGAACAATTTATTGGTGATAACAGTGAGAACAATGTCTGTAAGTTAGACAGAAGATACAATTAATTGGTGATAACAGTGAGAACAATGTCTGTAAGTTAGACAGAAGATACAATTAATTGGTGATAACAGTGAGAACAATGTCTGTAAGTTAGACAGAAGATACAATTAATTGGTGATAACAGTGAGAACAATGTCTGTAAGTTAGACAGAAGATACAATTAATTGGTGATAACAGTGAGAACAATGTCTGTAAGTTAGACAGAAGATACAATTAATTGGTGATAACAGTGAGAACAATGTCTGTAAGTTAGACAGAAGATACAAAGTGATAACATGAGAACAATGTCTTAATTAGACAGGTGATAACAGTGAGAACAATGTCTGTAAGTTAGACAGAAGATACAATTAATTGGTGATAACAGTGAGAACAATGTCTGTAAGTTAGACAGAAGATACAATTAATTGGTGATAACAGTGAGAACAATGTCTGTAAGTTAGACAGAAGATACAATTAATTGGTGATAACATTGAGAACAATGTCTGTAAGTTAGACAGAAGATACAATTAATTGGTGATAACAGTGAGAACAATGTCTGTAAGTTAGACAGAAGATACAATTAATTGGTGATAACAGTGAGAACAATGTCTGTAAGTTAGACAGAAGATAAAATTGATTGGTGATAACAGTGAGAACAATGTCTGTAAGTTAGACAGAAGATACAATTAATTGGTGATAACAGTGAGAACAATGTCTGTAAGTTAGACAGAAGATAAATTTAATTGGTGATAACAGTGAGAACAATGTCTGTAAGTTAGACAGAAGATAAATTTAATTGGTGATAACAGTGAGAACAATGTCTGTAAGTTAGACAGAAGATAAATTTAATTGGTGATAACAGTGAGAACAATGTCTGTAAGTTAGACAGAAGATAAATTTAATTGGTGATAACAGTGAGAACAATGTCTGTAAGTTAGACAGAAGATAAATTTAATTGGTGATAACAGTGAGAACAATGTCTGTAAGTTAGACAGAAGATAAATTTAATTGGTGATAACAGTGAGAACAATGTCTGTAAGTTAGACAGAAGATAAATTTAATTGGTGATAACAGTGAGAACAATGTCTGTAAGTTAGACAGAAGATAAATTTAATTGGTGATAACAGTGAGAACAATGTCTGTAAGTTAGACAGAAGATAAATTTAATTGGTGATAACAGTGAGAACAATGTCTGTAAGTTAGACAGAAGATAAATTTAATTGGTGATAACAGTGAGAACAATGTCTGTAAGTTAGACAGAAGATAAATTTAATTGGTGATAACAGTGAGAACAATGTCTGTAAGTTAGACAGAAGATAAATTTAATTGGTGATAACAGTGAGAACAATGTCTGTAAGTTAGACAGAAGATAAATTTAATTGGTGATAACAGTGAGAACAATGTCTGTAAGTTAGACAGAAGATAAATTTAATTGGTGATAACAGTGAGAACAATGTCTGTAAGTTAGACAGAAGATAAATTTAATTGGTGATAACAGTGAGAACAATGTCTGTAAGTTAGACAGAAGATAAATTTAATTGGTGATAACAGTGAGAACAATGTCTGTAAGTTAGACAGAAGATAAAATTAATTGGTGATAACAGTGAGAACAATGTCTGTAAGTTAGACAGAAGATACAATTAATTGGTGATAACAGTGAGAACAATGTCTGTAAGTTAGACAGAAGATACAATTAATTGGTGATAACAGTGAGAACAATGTCTGTAAGTTAGACAGAAGATACAATTAATTGGCGATAACAGTGAGAACAATGTCTGTAAGTTAGACAGAAGATACAATTGATTGGTGATAACATTGAGAACAATGTCTGTAAGTTAGACAGAAGATACAATTGATTGGTGATAACAGTGAGAACAATGTCTGTAAGTTAGACAGAAGATAAAATTAATTGGTGATATTCAGAGAGAATGAAATTTTGCAACTGTCTTGATTTACAGAATGTTTTGGTTTTATTTCCCCTGCCATTTTATGAGAAGACATACGACGTTACATATGTCTGTCTATTCCACTTATCATGAGGTCACATCCTGTAGCATCATGTTCAGAGTCATTGTCATACTTTGTGAACCTCTCAACAGATTTGGTGTATATGTGTATGTTAGTATCATAACATTGAGTTCTACACTTAGTCATAGTAAGGTGGTCATTAGTCAAGTTAAAAGGTCAAAAGTCAAATTTGACAGTTCTGCAGATTTATCATTCAATAATGCTTACATCATGGGTGTAGTGGCATTTATATCTTACAGACAAGTTTTCTCTGTATTAATTATATAATAAAATATTAGTTAGTTAATTCATTTATGTCTTACTGAGAAGTTTTCTCTGTATTAATTATATAATCAAATATTAGTTAGTTAATTCATTTATGTCTTACTGAGAAGTTTTCTCTGTATTAATTATATAATCAAATATTAGTTAGTTAATTCATTTATGTCTGACTGAGAAGTTTTCTCTGTATTAATTATATAATCAATTATTAGTTAGTTAATTCATTTATGTCTGACTGAGAAGTTTTCTCTGTATTAATTATATAATCAAATATTAGTTAGTTAATTCATTTATGTCTGACTGAGAAGTTTTCTCTGTATTAATTATATAATCAATTATTAGTTAGTTAATTCATTTATGTCTGACTGAGAAGTTTTCTCTGTATTAATTATATAATCAATTATTAGTTAGTTAATTCATTTATGTCTGACTGAGAAGTTTTCTCTGTATTAATTATATAATCAAATATTAGTTAGTTAATTCATTTATGTCTGACTGAGAAGTTTTCTCTGTATTAATTATATAATCAATTATTAGTTAGTTAATTCATTTATGTCTGACTGAGTATTTTTCTCTGTATTAATTATATAATCAATTATTAGTTAGTTAATTCATTTATGTCTTACTGAGAAGTTTTCTCTGTATTAATTATATAATCAATTATTAGTTAGTTAATTCATTTATGTCTTACTGAGAAGTTTTCTCTGTATTAATTATATAATCAATTATTAGTTAGTTAATTAATTTATGTCTGACTGAGTAGTTTTCTCTGTATTAATTATATAATCAATTATTAGTTAGTTAATTCATTTATGTCTTACTGAGAAGTTTTCTCTGTATTAATTATATAATCAAATATTAGTTAATTTATTTATTTATTTTGATTTTGAGTTTTGTTTTTTCTATTTCTCCTTTGAAATGCCAATGTTTAATGTTTCTGACCCACAATTGACCTATACAAGTATTGTGACAGAAGTTACAAGTGTTTTAACTGTCTACTATTTCAGGTGCTATGATGAAGATAACCACAGACAACAGTACCAGAGTGAATGACCTTGATGACATTGTAAGAACTTTGTAATTGTAAGAATATTAAGAATATTTTTCAGTTTAGTATATTATTCATCATGTAGCATATTTTACTTGCAATAAGCACATGTACAAGGGACAACACATAACTTTCTACTTAAAGTCAGAGATTGGCTTATTACACGACAATGAAGTAGTGTTTGTTTTTACTATGTATGTCCCTTCAGACATAAACGATGGAGTGGATTTTGACCAAATTTGATCAGAATCCTTAGGGGAAGGGGATACCTACAGCAGCTGAGAGTGCTGCAGTCTGCCTTTATGTATTGTTTACATATGTTTGTACCTACAGGAGCTGAGAGTGCTCCGGTTTGCCTATGTATGTGCCTCCCTTCCAGTCCTTGGAGCTCCTGAACCTCCATCAGCTCTTTCTCCTTCCCCAGTCTTCACACCTGTGGACACTAACAAAAAGTAAGTTTTCACTTCTTTTGATAACAACAAAAGCACCAGGAAATGTTCAGTCTATAATCACGATGCCATCCACATGAGACACCTTTGTACATGTAAATGCAGACATAAAAATCAAGTTCATCCTACAGGTGCCAAGAATGTTTTGTTTGCTGCTGAGGTCTTCAGCACATTTTTATTTTGTTCCCCAGATTTACATACCATGGTAGGATACGAAGTCCAACCCCACACGACAGTGGCGTGGACGAACAAGATGATACATCTGTTGTCCCAGCTGAGACACTAAGAGAGCTACTGATGAGATCCTTTCGCCTGGTTCCTGAGAAATTTCACCAATATGAACAGAAGATTGCTCAATACTATGGCAACAAACAAGCAGAAAAGGTACATAAAGGAGAAATATATACTGCTGATTATTTGTATCTGTATAGTGGAATGGAGCGCTTACTGTTTCAGTGATTCTATCTGTACCTGAGATGTATGTGATGGACACACATATCTGTCAGACTGCTTAGTCTTGTGACTCTACTTACCTGAGTCCATAAGTTTCCTTGGTATTGTGACTATAGTCCATCAGATGGCCAAGTCATGTGACTCTAGTTCATAAGGTTGTTCAATCATGTGACTACTCACTTGAGTCTGTAAGATTGCTTTGTCATGTGACTCAATCCATAAGATGATTTAGTCATGTGACTCGAGACCATAGCAGACTACTAATAAATCTAAGTACTGATCTGATCATAGAGTCAGACTAGAAGCATGTTATGTTGATCTGTGATGGTGTTATACCAGACAGTTCACATTACTTCCAGACTAACCATTTGTTTGAAGATGGCGTATCTTTTTTTTTTTCTTTGCAAAGATTATGGAACTGTCAAAAATATCATCTTTTTTTCCTTTTTTTGGTTTATTTTCATTTTTATGATATTCATGAATGGAAATACCAAAAACAAAATCCATTCCATACAATTTACAGGTTGGTCAGCAATAACAGATATTTTTATAGATGTAACAATATGAATAACAATTCCAGATACAAGGCCATTAATATGAAGTTACCACTGTAAATAGAATCAGTTTGTATGTATGTATAGCATAGTTTGATTGGTCATCTTGAGGCAGCACCTTCTTGTAGCTACCTGGTGGTTACCGTACTGAACAATATATGGGATGCCCATCACATTCCATCCAGTGTAATGAGGGAAAAGTGTCACGCCGAAGGATATAACTATATTGGCCCTGACTGATCCGTTCTTCAGCATCCTAAGAAACACAATTCTCATGAGTAGAGAGCATGAAGCCATGTACCCAGGATCTTCACATGAGGTTACATAAACCAATGCTACTGACTGAGCTGTTGCACCTCCCATATGTACTATAGATGTGTTATATGTGCTAAACACAAATATCAATGACAGTATAAAACAACTTTTGTTTGTTGGCAGATTTTGGCAGAAGAATTAGTTGGACAATTGGCAGCCTTAGAAAAAAATAGCAATCCATTCTATAGCCCAGATACATTCATGGTAAGTAATTGTAAACTCAGTGCATGGCTGTGAGTAATGTTACAAAAATCTTTCCTATCCTTTTGAGTCCGGACAAAAAGTGAGAAAATTTGCACATCTGGCATTTATTTTTTCAGAACACCCAGGGTTACGATAAGTGGCAGAGGAGAGAATTTGCCCACATAGCAGACCTGATGAAGAAGTTCTGGCATCTCACATATCCACCACCCTCTACATCTCACATCCACAGCCTACGAACAATCCACCAGGATTACAGATTTCTGATGGAGAAACTCATCAGGTATCCTAAACTCAGGTTTAACTGATTCCTTACCAAATGGAATGAAATAAGACCTTTTACTTCCCACAAACTTGTTTAATCATCTTACAAAAAAAAAGTGTATTTAAAATAAAAAACATTTGTGTAGCTTCATTATTTAAAGCAGCAGGTTGATTTGGCTTGTACTTAATGTCAGATATGGATTTTGGAACTCAGCTGATGAAGCATCCTTTTTTTGGATTTTCATATCAGAGACAGAAGATTGACCTCACTGGGCACTCAGCAGAAATGCGGTTTTCCCTGTTCTGTAACATTTACAAAGGAGAGTCTAAATGAGTAACTTTTCTGAATCCAATATTAATGAAACATCAATGTTATATATATATTGTCATTGAGTTTGTTTGTTGAACTGTATTGATTGACATTTTCTTTGTTTATTTATTAGATATGAGTCCCCATATCGTCTTGAGGGAGAGTTATCTGCCCCTGGACCAACCTCTCCATTGTCATCAGCTTCATTACGTCTCCTTAAGGAATTTGGTCTTCGATATGGAATAGTAAGTTTAAAGTATGGAATAGTAGTGATCAGTTCCTTAGTTTACATTCACAATTATACTGCTTTTAATATCTTAACATGGGTCTTTAATAGTTGATAATGAGATGTAGAACTCAGTAGCTGAAAAGTTCAGTTATTCTCTAACTCTTTACTGGTATAATCCCATGTTGGCTAGGGACGGATACATTTTTTTCCTCATGGGTACAATTGAATAACATGAGTTACAGCCCTTTTCAGATGTCATTTATGATAGTGAGATGTCTACAATTCATAACAACAACTTTCAATATAAAGTGATGGGAAAGTGTGGGAGAAAACTGTCACTTCCATAAAATGTGGACAGATTTATCGCAATATTTTCAAAGCTTAGGATGATGTTTACTCATATTTAGAAATATTACCCTGGGGTTGAGATAACTTTGTCCACATCACACAGAGGTAAAAGCCTTTGTTTTACCGTTACAACTTATGAGTGTTGATTTGAGAGTTTTGGAGTATTTTTGATATCCATTGTTTGGATCTATGTAGTAATTTTGTGTGTGTTGTTGTAAGATCTATATCATATTTTTTGTGTATTGTAGCGAGATCTACTGTCAAGTTTGTTTGTTGGAGTGAGATCTAATCTGATTTTTGTATGTGTGTTGTAGCCATATCTATATTTTTTTGTGTGTTGTAGGGAGATCATATCATATTTTTGTGTGTTGAAGCGAGATCTAGACCATATTTTTGTGTGTTGTACATGATCTGTACCAAATTTTTGTGTATTGTAGCGAGATCTACTGTCAAGTTTGTTTGTTTGTTGGAGTGAGATCTAATCTGATTTTTGTATGTGTGTTGTAGCCATATCTATATTTTTTTGTGTGTTGTAGGGAGATCATATCATATTTTTGTGTGTTGAAGCGAGATCTAGACCATATTTTTGTGTGCTGTACATGATCTGTACCAAATTTTTGTGTATTGTAGCGAGATCTAGACAATATTTTTGTGTGTTGTAGCGAGATCTATACCGTAAGATTGTATACTTATACTACCTGTCCAAGAACTTTGACCCAACTGTCTGGTTTATGCAACACACCAGTGCTGTTCTCACAAGTGTGTTCGAGGTCCTTCCAAAGAATGGGTCTCATTTGGTGCTTGTAAAAACAGAGGTATGTCAAAAAGATATTTCACATTTAGATTGTTTTAGTAATGATGAATGGCTCGCTATAGTTTCTATCTATAAACTACTTGATATTAGACATTTTTGTAGAATGTATAAGGTGTTTTCATGTTGATCAAATTGCCAAGAAGGCAAAGAAAGTATGCATAAACATAAATTACTTGTCTACCCTTTGTGTGTACTATATTATACTCGCCGTCATCTGTGTGTCAACCAGAAGTAATCTGAGAATCCAGATGTCTACTATTGTTAAATGGACATCACAGTTTAAAATATTTTTTTATTGATTGTATATGAGTTTTTATATAAACATTTCCATTTACATTTCTATGTTATCCCGATATTTGAAAATGAGGCAGTTCAAATTTGTAAACAAGAACATATGATGGCAGGCAGAAATTACAGTGACAGTAGTGAAATCATCAGTAAAATCCCATTTTTAAGCACATTTTTTTGTTATGGGTGCAGCAAATGTTATTTGATAACTCTAAGTCATTTAAGAATTATGAAAAAAGTGACCTTATTCGCCAACATTGTCACGAATTATCATGTGAGAAACCATTTTTGTTTACCGGTGACTGTATTTTGCGCATGCGTTATCACATATCAAGACAAAAATTGATAAAAAATTTATGTATGTAGACTGTTGATCAACAGATAAGGATTTCCTTTTAATACTTATCAATTAATCTTTATACATGCATATTTCAGTGAAAACCAACTGTCACTGTTTTTAAGGTGATAAACTTGATATATATAAATATATATATTTAATACTGGTAATAAAAAAATAACTAAAACAAGTTTTACCGCGATGTCACTTTAATATTTTACTGGGTGATGTACTCTATAAATGTTTAGTTGGTTTCTAACATGTTCCAGAGTCACTGCATTTATAGATAATTACAGGGATATACAGGTGTGAAATCTATGACTAATAACAGAATTTATAACAATGTCCTTGTGTAAGATCGCAATATATCAGAATTAAAAGTGCATGTAAACTGCAAAAATGAAATACAAATTTAAATTTCTTGAAAAGTATTAAGATCTTTTTAGGTACAAATGAACATCAGCAATATATTGATGTAGTTTCACTACAGCAGGCCTAGTCTTCATGTGACAAAGATAAATTAAAATTTTCTCTTTTTTGAAAACACTATATATTTTCTGGCATCAATCAAAACTAGCTTATGAGGTCTATTTGAACACACCATGGTTGTTTGTTGTAGCATGCCTTATTGGTGGACTGTATAACTGCATTAGAGGCACAGGTCATCACCACACTTACCAAAATGAAGGTTCTGTTTCCTAGTAACAGGCCAGCAGATGCTCTTGGTAAAAATTTGGATTATAAGACTTACTGTCTAAGATAGCTAAAGGAATAATTGTCTAGGGTAGAAAATTGGATATTTTAGTGAACTCTCCAAGGTAGAAAATTGGATATTTTAGTGAACTCTCCAAGGTAGAAAAAAGGATATTTGTATTTTAGTGTCCTAGGTGGAAATGGGGATATTTAATTGAACTCCCCAAGGTAGAAAATTGGATATTTTAGTGAACTCTCCAAGGTAGAAAAAGGGGTATTTGTATTTTAGTGGCCTAGGTGGAAATGGGGATATTTAATTGAACTCTCCAAGGTAGAAAATTGGATATTTTAGTGAACTCTCCAAGGTAGAAAAAGGGGTATTTGTATTTTAGTGTCCTAGGTGGAAATGGGGATATTTAATTGAACTCTCCAAGGTAGAAAATTGGATATTTTAGTGAACTCTCCAAGGTAGAAAAAGGGGTATTTGTATTTTAGTGTCCTAGGTGGAAATGGGGATATTTAATTGAACTCTCCAAGGTAGAAAATTGGATATTTTAGTGAACTCTCCAAGGTAGAAAAAAGGATATTTGTATTTTAGTGTCCTAGGTGGAAATGGGGATATTTAATTGAACTCTCAAAGGTAGAAAAAAAGATGTATGCAGTTTACTGTCCTTGGTAGAAAAGGAGATCTTTCAGTTAACTCTCCAAGGTAGCAAAGGGAATAATTTTACTGAACTCTTCAGGATTGGAAAGAGGATAGTTGTAATGTACTGTCCTGTCTTAGATAAGAAAGGGGACAGTTGTAGTGGGCTGTCCTGGATAGGAAAGGGGACAGTTGTAATGTACTGTCCTGTCTTAGATAGGAAAGGGGACAGTTGTAGTGGACTGTCCTGTTTTAGATAGGAAAGGGGACAGTTGTAATGTACTGTCCTGTCTTAGATAGGAAAGGGAACAGTTGTAGTGGACTGTCCTGTCTTAGATAGGAAAGGGGACAGTTGTAGTGGACTGTCCTGTCTTAGATAGGAAAGGGGACAGTTGTAGTGGACTTTCCTGTCTTAGATAGGAAAGGGGACAGTTGTAATGTACTGTCCTGTCTTAGATAGGAAAGGGGACAGTTGTAGTGGACTGTCCTGTCTTAGATAGGAAAGGGGACAGTTGTATTGGACTGGACTGTCTTAGATAGGAAAGGGGACAGTTGTAGTGGACTGTCATGTCTTAGATAGGAAATGGGACAGTTGTATTGGACTGTCCTGTCTTAGATAAGAAAGGGGACAGTTGTATTGGACTGTCCTGTCTTAGATAGAAAAGTGGACAGTTGTAGTGGACTGTCCTGTCTTAGAAAGGAAAGGGGACAGTTGTAATGTACTGTCCTGTCTTAGATAGGAAAGGGGACAGTTGTAGTGGACTGTCCTGTCTTAGATAGGAAAGGGGACAGTTGTAGTGGACTGTCCTGTCTCAGATAGGAAAGGGGACAATTGTAGTGGACTGTCCAGGAAAGGAAATGGGACAGTTGTAATGTACTGTCCTGTCTTAGATAGGAAAGGGGATATTTGTAGTGGACTGTCCTGGAAAGGAAATTAGACAGTTGTAATGTACTGTCCTGTCTTAGATTGGAAAGGGGACAGTTGTAGTGGACTGTCCTGTCTTAGATAGGAAAGGGGACAGTTGTAGTGGACTGTCCTGTCTTAGATAGGAAAGGGGACAGTTGTAGTGGACTGTTCTGTCTTAGATAGGAAAGGGGACAGTTGTAGTGGACTGTCATGTCTTAGATAGGGAAGGGGATATTTGTAGTGGACTGTCCTGTCTTAGATAGGAAAGGGGACAGTTGTAGTGGACTGTCCTGGAAAGGAAAGGGGACAGTTGTAGTGGACTGTCCTGGAAAGGAAAGTAGACAGTTGTAGTGTACTATCCTGTCTTAGATTGGAAAGGGGATATTTGTAGTGGACTTTCCTGTCTTAGATAGGAAAGGGGACAGTTGTAGTGGACTGTCCTGTCTTAGATAGGAAAAGGGACAATTGCAGTGGACTGTCCTGTCTTAGATAGGAAAGGGGACAGTTGTAGTGGACTGTCCTGTCTTAGATAGTAAAGGGGACAGTTGTAGTGGACTGTCATGTCTTAGATAGTAAAGGGGACAGTTGTAGTGGACTGTCCTGGAAAGGAAAGAGGACAGTTGTAATGGACTGTCATGTCTTAGAAAGGAAAGGGGACAGTTGTAGTGGACTGTCCTGTCTTAGATAGGAAAGGGGACAGTTGTAGTGGACTGTCCTGTCTTAGATAGGAAAGGGGACAGTTGTAGTGGACTGTCCTGTCTTAGATAGGAAAGGGGACAGTTGTAGTGGACTGTTCTGTCTTAGATAGGAAAGGGGACAGTTGTAGTGGACTGTTCTGTCTTAGATAGGGAAGGGGATATTTGTAGTGGACTGTGCGTCTTAGATAGGAAAGGGGACAGTTGTAGTGGACTGTCCGTCTTAGATAGGAAAGGGGATATTTTTTATGAAGTATCTAGAGTGGATAAGATTACATTGTATATCTATAGTGAAATGTCAAGGTTTAGAAAAGGAATTATTTTCGGTGAACTCTCCAGTGTAGAACAGATGATGTTTTTATTGAACTAGTAAATGTAGGACAGGAGATATTGGTAGTGGACTGTGAAGAGTCAAAGAAGGAATATTTGTAGTGGACTGTCCAGAATTAAAAAAGGGATATTTTAGTTACATCTCCAGGGCGGAAGATGGATATTAATGGAAAATCATCCATATTCATAATAATGTCATGTTTTACTCTTCTGTACAGATAGCCTGATAGAATTGATGTCCTGTACACTACAGGCCAAGTCTTTCCTAACGAGACATCGAAGTGAGACATTACAGAGTTACCTACTCAAACAAGTCCAGGTTTGTTACAGTGGTGGTGATATTCAACATTACAGAGTTACCTACTCAAACAAGTCCAGGTTTGTTACAGTGGTGGTGATATTCAACATTACAGAGTTACCTACTCAAACAAGTCCAGGTTTGTTACAGTGGTAGTGATATTCAACATTACAGAGTTACCTACTCAAACAAGTCCAGGTTTGTTACAGTGGTAGTGATATTCAACATTTCAGAGTTACCTACTCAAACAAGTCCAGGTTTGTTACAGTGGTGGTGATATTCAACATTACAGAGTTACCTACTCAAACAAGTCCAGGTTTGTTACAGTGGTGGTGATATTCAACATTACAGAGTTACCTACTCAAACAAGTCCAGGTTTGTTACAGTGGTAGTGATATTCAACATTTCAGAGTTACCTACTCAAACAAGTCCAGGTTTGTTACAGTGGAAGTGATATTCAACATTACAGAGATACCTACTCAAACAAGTCCAGGTTTGTTACAGTGGTAGTGATATTCAACATTACAGAGATACCTACTCAAACAAGTCCAGGTTTGTTACAGTGGTAGTGATATTCAACATTACAGAGTTACCTACTCAAACAAGTCCAGGTTTGTTACAGTGGTAGTGATATTCAACATTATAGAGTTACCTACTCAAACAAGTCCAGGTTTGTTACAGTGGTAGTGATATTCAACATTACAGAGATACCTACTCAAACAAGTCCAGGTTTGTTACAGTGGTAGTGATATTCAACATTACTTTTACTTTCAGAAAATTTTCCCAACATGCTATAAAGAACACAAAATGGTGATGGTTAGTGACCTTGGTTTGACCTCTCCAGAGCAGCTGTCACCAATGTTGGTATGTGTTAGGTCTTAGTTACACATAGGCAAAGATGGAATAAGTGTCATTGTAGCATCACTATACAAATTCTGATTGATGTTCAGCTGAAGGGAACCAGTCATACCTGTATACCTAAGGATTTTCTTTCCAAACTTTTAAGATATTAAATCATATTGTGACAAAAGGGAGTACTTATAAGATATGCTGCTTAACATATAAAAGAGATATTGGAATTTGATTTTGATTAAATGCGTTTTTGTCTTTAGTTGAACAGAATGATTGGACAGATCCGAGATGAAGTAAAGGATTACAAGATACATTACCACAGCAGTTTTGAGAAGTAGGTATATCTCACAGCTATATAAAGTCCTAGTGATGTCCCAGTACTGTCCAACTTGTCCAAATTCTGTCTCAGTACTTTTCAACTTGTCCAAATTCTGTCTCAGTACTGTCGAACTTGTCCAAATTCTGTCTCAGCACTGTCCAACCTGTCCAAATTCTGTCTCGGTACTGTCCAACCTGTCCAAATTCTGTCTCAGTACTGTCAAACTTGTCCAAATTCTGTCTCAGTACTGTCGAACTTGTCCAAATTCTGTCCCAGTACTGTCCAACTTATCCAAATTCTGTCTCAGTACTGTCCATCTTGTCCAAATTCTGTCTCAGTACTGTCCAGCTTGTCCAAATTCTGTCTCAGTACTGTCCAACTTGTCCAAATTCTGTCTCAGTTCTGTCCAACTTGTCCAAATTCTGTCTCAGTACTGTCCAGCTTGTCCAAATTCTGTCTCAGTACTGTCCAACTTGTCCAAATTCTGTCTCAGTTCTGTCCAACTTGTCCAAATTCTGTCTCAGTACTGTCTGAAAAATGTGTTAAATACTGTCCCATTCCTGCCAAAAATGTCGTTCACACACTTTTCTCCCTCATGAGAATTCTGAAAAATTGGCAGGTTTGCTGTCCCAATAATGTTCATTACTGTTCCCATAATGTCCTCACACTACCTCATTACCGTCCCACATAGCATAAACTGATGTCGGCTTTCTGTGGGTATTTCTGTATAGTATGAAAGTTTAGCACAGGTGCCAGGGTGTACGTGTCGGTCAGAAACTTCCCCAGTATGTGAGGTTGTCTCAACAATTTTTGATGTTTTCTTCTGGTATTTCTCTATTTTATAAGATTTGGTATAAGACTGGTTTAGGATTACATGTTTCTGCCTGAAAACCTCAAGGCATTTCTTTGTGGTATGAAACTTTTGTACAGAAGGAATATATATCATCCAGATATATCCCCACAATGTTAAGATGTTCGGGTTTATTTTCCAGCCAGATATTTCCCCGCCATGTTAAGACTTTTCCTGGTAGTATTACAGGTTTTCTCTGAAGAATGAGTTTTTCTTAAGATATTTGAATGTAGTATGAAATTTGTTACATGCCTGGTACTAGGGTTTCTGTTACAACCAGATACCTCCCCCACAATATCAAATGTTTTTTTGGTATTTCTGCAAAGTATGAAAATTGGAAATGGACTGGTTTGAGATATTTCCTACAGTGTGAAGGGTGTACAGGTATGTTGGTTATATAGAGATATTTCCTACAGTGTGAAGGGTTGATACAGGTATGTTGGTTATATAGAGATATTTCCTACAGTGTGAAGGGTTGATACAGGTATGTTGGTTATATAGAGATATTTCCTACAGTGTGAAGGATTGATAGTCTACAGGTATGTTGGTTATATAGAGATATTTCCTACAGTGGGAAGGGTTGATACAGGTATGTTGGTTATATAGAGATATTTCCTACATTGTGAAGGGTTGATACAGCTATGTTGGTTATATAGAGATAGTTCCCACAGTGTGAAGGATTGATAGTGTACAGGTATGTTGGTTATATAGAGATATTTCCTATAGTGTGAAGGTTTGATAGTGTACAGCTCTGTTGGTTATATAGAGATATTTCCTACAGTGTGAAGGGTGTACAGGTATGTTGGTTATATAGAGATATTTCCTACAGTGTGAAGGGTTGATACAGGTATGTTGGTTATATAGAGATATTTCCTACAGTGTGAAGGGTTGATAGTGTACAGGTATGTTGGTTATATAGAGATATTTCCTACAGTGTGAAGGGTTGATACAGGTATGTTGGTTATATAGAGATATTTCCTACAGTGTGAAGGGTTGATACAGGTATGTTGGTTATATAGAGATATTTCCTACAGTGTGAAGGGTTGATACAGGTATGTTGGTTATATAGAGATAGTTCCCACGGTGTAAAGGATTGATAGTGTACAGGTATGTTGGTTATATAGAGATATTTCCTACAGTGTGAAGGGTTGATACAGGTATGTTGGTTATATAGAGATATTTCCTACAGTGTGAAGGGTTGATACAGCTATGTTGGTTATATACTAGAATTCTGCAATGTTTCACTAGTTTTTACTTTATAAGTTAAAATGTTCATTGCGTGGAAACATTTCTTGTTTTCATATCTTATATATAAGAAATATCTGTATATTGATGTGATATCCAAAAAAGTTTCTGTCCTCCAAAAGATGTATATGACTATAAAGATGTATTAGTCAAAAAAGATAAAAGAATATGTTTGTGAACATCTCATGTGACACTGTGGTATACAGTTTATATTTCCCCCCAGGTATTTCCCAGTAGCAAGGGAAGCTGCCCATTCCCTGTATGAGCTACTGATGGAGGATGTCAGATGGCTTTGTCAGCTCCGACAGAATCAGTTTGTATGTTCACAGCTACAGTACATGGCTCTATATCTCATCACTGAATAAATGTTCTGTTTTACATATCTTTCCACATTTCTCCTATAATTAATATTTTTGTTCTTGGTTTATAAACCAGATGCATGCATTTGAACATTTACCTGATTACACATAAACACAATGTACTACTGGTACATCATGGAGAGCTTGATTCTGTAAACCTCATGACTCCAGGTAAAATTTACTAGATTTTATCTGGAAAAAATGCATTTTTGGGCATAGTTTGTTCATTTTCTTTCAGAAATAATTCAAACATGGTTAGAATTTCTTCTTTGATAGTGTAAACTGACTGTTTGATGAGATGCACATATTGACCCTGACTGACCCCCAGGGGTGGGTCCAAAAGTGGGTAAAATTGACTGAAAGTTCAAAGATATTCTAAGGTTCCTGGATGGAAGATTTTATTTCAGAAAATTCAATTTTAGATTGTAATTTCTTTTAATTCAAACTTGGTTAGAAGCATTAGCATGGGACAGCAGTTAATGTATCTACAATTTACATTTGCATTATGTGTACAATATAGTTAAAGTTATATTATTTTTTTTTAACAAAATAATTTCTATGACATGTCACAAGAAGCATGGTGACTCAGGTGACCAGTAAGGCCCTAGAGCCTCTTGGTTATTTTGTTGTAAGGATCATCTGAGTGATATATCCATCTACAAGCAGTACACAGACTTTGTACTGTCATTTGGTACAGGTTGTTTATTTTGTTGTAAGGATCATCTGAGTGATATATCCATCTACAAGCAGTACACAGACTTTGTACTGTCATTTGGTACAGGTTGTTTATTTTGTTGTAAGGATCATCTGAGTGATATATCCATCTACAAGCAGTACACAGACTTTGTACTGTCATTTGGTACAGGTTGTTTATTTTGTTGTAAGGATCATCTGAGTGATATATCCATCTACAAGCAGTACACAGACTTTGTACTGTCATTTGGTACAGGTTGTTTATTTTGTTTTATCATCTGAGTGATATATCCATCTACAAGCAGTACACAGACTTTGTACTGTCATTTGGTACAGGTTGTAAAAATATAGCATCTGTTTGCAATAGAATGGTAAAATTACAAACATGTTCATACATAACTATATCCTGTTTGCATATATCAAGTAGATTCATTTAAAAAATAGAATATTCTCACATAAATTTAGATCAGAATAGTACAAAATATATTTATTTCAAGTTTTGTGTTTTTTCGTGCAGAAAACACATGAGATTGACAAGCTTATGCTTGGACTGGGATACAGACTAAACCAGCTTGACCAGGACTGGTCATCTTACCTCACACCAGAGTAAGTAACATGTATCAGTAGACTGACCCAGCTAAACCAGGACTGGTCATCTTACCTCACACCAGAGTAAGTAGCATGTATCAGTACAGACTGACCCAGCTAAACAAGGACTGGTTATCTTACCTCACACCAGAGTAAGTAGCATGTATCAGTACAGAATGACCCAGCTAAACAAGGACTGGTTATCTTACCTCACACCAGAGTAAGTAGCATGTATCAGTACAGACTGACCCAGCTAGACCAGGACTGGTCATCATACCTCACACCAGAGTAAGTAACATGTATCAGAACAGACTGACCCAGCTAGACCAGGAATGGTCATCTTACCTCATACCAGAGTAAGTAACATGTATCATTACAATCTGACCCAGCTAGACCAGGACTGGTCATCTTACCTCACACCAGAGTAAGTAACATGTATCATTACAGACTGACCCAGCTAGACCAGGAATGGTCATCTTACCTCATACCAGAGTAAGTAACATGTATCATTACAGACTGACCCAGCTAGACCAGGACTGGTCATCTTACCTCACACCAGAGTAAGTAACATGTATCAGTACAGACTGACCCAGCTAGACCAGAACTGGTCATCATACCTCACACCAGAGTAAGTAACATGTATCAGAACAGACTGACCCAGCTAGACCAGGACTGGTCATCTTACCTCATACCAGAGTAAGTAACATGTATCATTACAGACTGACCCAGCTAGACCAGAACTGGTCATCATACCTCACACCAGAGTAAGTAACATGTATCAGAACAGACTGACCCAGCTAGACCAGGACTGGTCATCTTACCTCACACCAGAGTAAGTAACATGTATCAGTACAGACTGACCCAGCTAGACCAGAACTGGTCATCATACCTCACACCAGAGTAAGTAACATGTATCATTACAGACTGACCCAGCTAGACCAGGACTGGTCATCTTACCTCACACCAGAGTAAGTAACATGTATCAGTACAGACTGACCCAGCTAGACCAGAACTGGTCATCATACCTCACACCAGAGTAAGTAACATGTATCAGAACAGACTGACCCAGCTAGACCAGGACTGGTAATCTTACCTCACACCAGAGTAAGTAACATGTATCAGAACAGACTGACCCAGCTAGACCAGGAATGGTCATCTTACCTCACACCAGAGTAAGTAACATGTATCAGAACAGACTGACCCAGCTAGACCAGGACTGGTCATCTTACCTCACACCAGAGTAAGTAACATGTATCAGTACAGACTGACCCAGCTAGACCAGAACTGGTCATCATACCTCACACCAGAGTAAGTAACATGTATCAGAACAGACTGACCCAGCTAGACCAGGACTGGTAATCTTACCTCACACCAGAGTAAGTAACATGTATCAGTACAGACTGACCCAGCTAGACCAGGAATGGTCATCTTACCTCACACCAGAGTAAGTAACATGTATCAGAACAGACTGACCCAGCTAGACCAGGACTGGTCATCATACCTCACACCAGAGTAAGTAACATGTATCAGAACAGACTGACCCAGCTAGACCAGGACTGGTCATCTTACCTCACACCAGAGTAAGTAACATGTATCAGTACAGACTGACCCAGCTAAACAAGGACTGGTTATCTTACCTCACACCAGAGTAAGTAACATGTATCAGAATAGACTGACCCAGCTAAACAAGGACTGGTTATCTTACCTCACACCAGAGTAAGTAACATGTATCAGAACAGACTGACCCAGCTAGACCAGGACTGGTCATCTTACCTCACACCAGAGTAAGTAACATGTATCAGTACAGACTGACCCAGCTAGACCAGGAATGGTCATCTTACCTCACACCAGAGTAAGTAACATGTATCATTACAGACTGACCCAGCTAAACAAGGACTGGTTATCTTACCTCACACCAGAGTAAGTAACATGTATCAGAACAGACTGACCCAGCTAGACCAGGACTGGTCATCATACCTCACACCAGAGTAAGTAACATGTATCAGAACAGACTGACCCAGCTAGACCAGAACTGGTCATCATACCTCACACCAGAGTAAGTAACATGTATCAGAACAGACTGACCCAGCTAAACCAGGACTGGTCATCTTACCTCACACCAGAGTAAGTAACATGTATCAGAACAGACTGACCCAGCTAGACCACTTACAACAGTTGTCTTATATTTATTTCTGAAAATGTAGGACTGAAGATAGTTGCAGGCTCAGACATTGTGAGATTAGATTTTGATTCCACATTTTCTGGTATGTTTATTCCATCTTTTTTATTAGTGTAGATATTTTGTCTCTGGTAACAGGATGCAGACTTGGCGAGAGGTGTTTGTTAAGGAAGAACTGCATTGGACAGTAGTACTCAAGGTCTCCCTTCAAAACCTGGTGGTCAGATCAGTCTCGCTGGACCAGGTAATGAGTCCCCTTACTGATGCTATCAAGGAAGTTTTGTTGGGAGGGAGTAAAAAAATTTGTTAGTTTTGTAGGGAGGGAGTTTAAAGATTTGAAAGTTTTGTTGGGAGGGAGTATAAAGTTTAAGAGAAAATACAGTTTAAGACTTATCAACTTCATAAGTAAATAGATTTCAACAAGGGGAAGTGTAGTGCACAATTTAGAAATTATTGACTTTGCTATTTTTCATACTTAAATTTTGTCCAGAGCATTACACTAAAATGAGAGGTATCAACACTTTCAAAAACCGCTGTTGTATACATGGTCTGAAGGAGACATTTCATGATCATGGCATGTAAACTGTCTAGCAGCAATATACTGGATTTCTATATATTTATCTGTTTTAAGACAACATCATCACATTAGAAATTTTACTGTGAAAATTACCATACATAAGTGTCATGGCTAAATAACTGACTGAAATCAAGTAGGAAGGGAACATGACCTTCATATACATGTATGTGCATGCAAAAATTCTGGGTCACCAGGTCAAATGTCAAGGTAACATTTTAACTAGAATGTCTTTTATTAACAAATATTTTGTTATGCCATTGTTAAGCAAAGCTCGCCAAAATCAAATGATCGTAAGTTGTAGATGAATGATATTAATCTGAAGACTGAACATGTTAGTTTAGGAAGTTGCTAGTTGTGTAATCCAGATAAAGGAGGATTAGATAGTTTTTAACTTTCATATCTCTCCTTTATAGTTAGCATTATGTAAAAGAGCAGGAACTTCATTGATTGTTTGTATTATCAAATTTCTATTGAAACATGTGATTGTACAAAAAGGTTTCATTACAGTACTTTCAATGATTTATGCAGAAGTTAACTTGCAATCAGTTGTCATGAAACTACTCATAGCCACTTTTTAATCTCTACAAACAGAAATTTTTAAAGTGATGAAACCCTCCCCCCCCCAACTCTCCCCCTCTCTCACATCCCACTACTGAAAATATAAAATCTGTTTTTGTCATTGTTTTGATCATCATTTCTTGATACTCTGATCCTACAAATGAATACGATAAAGGAGAAGATGAATGTCTGTACAGTCCACAACAGTAAAGCTATCAGAAGTTGTGCTCTTTCTGTCAGTACTTGTGTTAGAAAAAGTAATGAAAACTCACAAGTATAGTTTTCTTCACAGTACCTTATATCTATATACCTCTGTTAGAAATTTTAAGTGAAACTAGCATGTACAAAATCAGATAAGATTTTAAAGTCTTTAGAAATTTTTTTTACCTTAAGTTGTTAATCAGAGATAACTGATCGATTTGTCGTATTTTTCTAGTTCCAGATGGAGCAGTATGAGGATTTACACAGCTGTTCTACCAGTTCCCTGAATTCTTTCTCTTCATTTGATAACAGGAGACGGGCTATCTCTACCAAATCTTTCACCCCATCACTAAATAGTGCCTTCAGTGGACTGGTGTCACCTGCTCAGTCTGTTCATAAACATGTAAGTGTCGTCTACTCAGTCAACCCCTGTTTATAAACATGTAAGTGCCGTCTGCTCAGTCCACCCCTGTTTATAAACATGTAATATTGTCTGCTCAGTTCACCCCTGTTTATAAACATGTAATATTGTCTGCTCAGTTCACCCCTGTTTATAAACAATATTGTCTGCTCAGTCCACCCCTGTTTATAAACATGTAATATTGTCTGCTCAGTTCACCCCTGTTTATAAACATGTAATATTGTCTGCTCAGTCCACCCCTGTTTATAAACATGTAATATTGTCTGCTCAGTTCACCCCTGTTTATAAACATGTAATATTGTCTGCTCAGTTCACCCCTGTTTATAAACATGTAATATTGTCTGCTGTTCACCCCTGTTTATAAACTCCACCCCTGTTTATAAACATGTAATATTGTCCGCTCAGTTCACCCCTGTTTATTAACAATATTGTCTGCTCAGTCCACCCCTGTTTATAAACATGTAATATTGTCTGCTCAGTTCACCCCTGTTTATAAACATGTAATATTGTCTGCTCAGTTCACCCCTGTTTATAAACATGTAATATTGTCTGCTCAGTTCACCCCTGTTTATAAACATGTAATATTGTCTGCTCAGTTCACCCCTGTTTATAAACATGTAATATTGTCTGCTCAGTTCACCCCTGTTTATAAACATGTAATATTGTCTGCTCAGTTCACCCCTGTTTATAAACATGTAATATTGTCTGCTCAGTTCACCCCTGTTTATAAACATGTAATATTGTCTGCTCAGTTCACCCCTGTTTATAAACATGTAATATTGTCTGCTCAGTTCACCCCTGTTTATAAACAATATTGTCTGCTCAGTCCACCCCTGTTTATAAACATGTAATATTGTCTGCTCAGTTCACCCCTGTTTATAAACATGTAATATTGTCTGCTCAGTTCACCCCTGTTTATAAACATGTAATATTGTCTGCTCAGTTCACCCCTGTTTATAAACATGTAATATTGTCTGCTCAGTTCACCCCTGTTTATAAACATGTAATATTGTCTGCTCAGTTCACCCCTGTTTATAAACATGTAATATTGTCTGCTCAGTTCACCCCTGTTTATAAACATGTAATATTGTCTGCTGTTTATAAACATGTATTAGTTCACCCCTGTTTATAAACATGTAATATTGTCTGCTCAGTTCACCCCTGTTTATAAACAATATTGTCTGCTCAGTCCACCCCTGTTTATAAACATGTAATATTGTCTGCTCAGTTCACCCCTGTTTATAAAAAATATTGTCTGCTCAGTCCACCCCTGTTTATAAACATGTAATATTGTCTGCTTAGTTCACCCCTGTTTATAAACATGTAATATTGTCTGCTCAGTTCACCCCTGTTTATAAACAATATTGTCTGCTCAGTCCACCCCTGTTTATAAACATGTAATATTGTCTGCTCAGTTCACCCCTGTTTATAAAAATGTAATATTGTCTGCTCAGTTCACCCCTGTTATATATTGTCTGCTCAGTTCAATAAACATGTAATATTGTCTGCTCTGTTTATAAACATGTAATAGCTTCACCCCTGTTTATAAACATGTAATATTGTCTGCTCAGTTCACCCCTGTTTATAAACATGTAATATTGTCTGCTCAGTTCACCCCTGTTTATAAACATGTAATATTGTCTGCTCAGTTCACCCCTGTTTATAAACATGTAATATTGTCTGCTCAGTCCACCCCTGTTTATAAACATGTAATATTGTCTGCTCAGTCCACCCCTGTTTATAAACATGTAATATTGTCTGCTCAGTTCACCCCTGTTTATAAACAATATTGTCTGCTTAGTTCACCCCTGTTTATAAACATGTAATATTGTCTGCTCAGTTCACCCCTGTTTATAAACATGTAATATTGTCTGCTCAGTTCACCCCTGTTTATAAACATGTAATATTGTCTGCTCACTTCATCCCTGTTTATAAACATGTAATATTGTCTGCTCAGTTCACCCCTGTTTATAAATATGTAATATTGTCTGCTCAGTTCACCCCTGTTTATAAACAATATTGTCTGCTCAGTCCACCCCAATATTGTCTGCTCAGTTCACCCCTGTTTATAAAAAATATTGTCTGCTCAGTCCACCCCTGTTTATAAACATGTAATATTGTCTGCTCAGTTCACCCCTGTTTATAAACAATATTGTCTGCTCAGTCCACCCCTGTTTATAAACATGTAATATTGTCTGCTAAGTTCACCCCTGTTTATAAACATGTAATATTGTCTGCTCAGTTCACCCCTGTTTATAAACATAATATTGTCTGCTCAGTTCACCCCTGTTTATAAACATGTAATAACACCCCTGTTTATAAACATGTAATATTGTCTGCTTAGTTCACCCCTGTTTATAAACAATATTGTCTGCTCAGTTCACCCCTGTTTATAAACATGTAATATTGTCTGCTCAGTTCACCCCTGTTTATAAACAATAAATATAGTAAGATCACAACACACAACTAAATAAACAGTTACTATTGTCTGCTCAGTTCACCCCTGTTTATAAACATGTAATATTGTCTGCTTAGTTCACCCCTGTTTATAAACAATATTGACTGCTCAGTTCACCCCAGTATATAAACATGTAATATTGTCTGCTCAGTTCACCCCTGTTTATAAACATGTAATATTGTCTGCACCCCTGTTTATAAACAGTTCACCCCTGTTTATAAACATGTAATATTGTCTGCTCAGTTCACCCCTGTTTATAAACAATATTGTCTGCTCAGTTCACCCCTGTTTATAAACATGTAATATTGTCTGCTCAGTTCACCCCTGTTTATAAACATGTAATATTGTCTGCTCAGTTCACCCCTGTTTATAAACATGTAATATTGTCTGTTTATAAACTCAGTTCACCCCTGTTTATAAACATGTAATATTGTCTGCTCAGTTCACCCCTGTTTATAAACATGTAATATTGTCTGCTCAGTTCACCCCTGTTTATAAACATGTAATATTGTCTGCTCAGTTCACCCCTGTTTATAAACATGTAATATTGTCTGCTCAGTTCACCCCTGTTTATAAACAATATTGTCTGCTTAGTTCACCCCTGTTTATAAACATGTAATATTGTCTGCTCAGTTCACCCCTGTTTATAAACATGTAATATTGTCTGCTCAGTTCACCCCTGTTTATAAACAATATTGTCTGCTCAGTCCACCCCTGTTTATAAACATGTAATATTGTCTGCTCAGTTCACCCCTGTTTATAAACAATATTGTCTGCTCAGTTCACCCCTGTTTAATAACAATATTGTCTGCTCAGTCCTATCATTTATAAGCATGTAAGTGTCGTCTGCTCAGTCAAAATGGATACACTAGAAATATTTTCCATTTTGTTACAGACCTCACTATCATCAGAAGGTGGGACACATTATCCTACAATCCATGAGTCTCCGCTGCCTTCACAAACATCTGTGAAACAAGAACAAGTCAGAGCTGAGGCACTGAACATCCGCAAATTTTCACAGATGGAGGATTTGCATGGGGCACACCCAAATTATGGTCTGCACAAAAATGATGCAGACACAAAATCCTTGGAAGATTTTGTGGATGAGTGTGGTGACAAGATGATGACTTTTAGTTACATGAGACATAGTAGCTCTCTTCCAGATATCCTCAGCAAGAGTTACGACCACAGCCTTAGTGTCTCACGAAAGTACATCAGCCAGAACCTCAGCTCTAAGGAACAGTCAGAAAAAAGGGCTATGTCACATGACATAAATACTGACCATTCACTTATCCACAGAGAATCTGCTGCTAAAAGCCAATCAGAAAATCAAGACAGGTCACATGCTATTGTTGTCAGTGCAGATGTCCATCAGGAATCATTGGAAGACAGTGAATTAAAGAGGGACAAGTTGGGTAACCATGACGATGATAAGGACTCTATAGCTGGAGAGTTCCACAATGATAGTGACAATACATACTCAGATTCAGATGAAGGCAACCTAACAGACCAAACAGAGTCTGATGAGGACAACTTTGCATTTCCTCCCGTAGAAATTGTGTCCCTTGTAAGTGAAAAGTTGGATTCTCAGGCAAATGTGGCACCTGTAGCCTCCACACAGGAGAAAGAGGATCCAATAGCTGCTAGCTACAAGGAGATGAATTGTGCTATGGGGAAGCCTGAGACTGTATTAGACAGAGAAATATCATGTGATAGTGAGGAGGGTCAAGGCTCAGCAACCCCAGTAAACCTTGCAATCTTTCCCTCATCACCAGTTCCTAAAGTTATGTCCATGTTACCATTGTCTAGCTCTGTGGTAGATCTGATTGTGATGCTGCAGCGTTTGATTGGGTTTAGTTACACAGTCAGCCAGATTTTCTGCCATAGTGCACTCAGGGCTCAAACTGTTGTTAATGAGGAGTCAACTCAGTCTTCAGAGTCAGAGGATTTCTTGTCTAACACAAAGATGAGCGAGGCGCGCCAGAAACTCTACGACAACATTTTTGAGGTGAGTCCTGTACTTTTTCTGATTCAGGGTTCATTGATTTTTGTGATGTTGAAGGATTGATGCTATTACTAAAATCTACCTTATAGTTATGATTTAAATTATTGGTTAAATTTACATTTACTTTGTAGAGTTTGTGTAATACACAGTGTATCTATGATGGTAACATGCTGTTTTTGCCTGTAAGGTTTGTGTAATATCTCAGACTTCTTTAAGCTTTCAGGGTTGCAGGTCAAGATTAAGGTCACCTATACTATATTTATAAAATCCTTGTTAACTCTTTCATAGGTTCATTTCTTGAGAGAACTTCAGCAAACTTTACACACTTTATGGACATGTTTGTTGGAGTTCATGATTGGAAGATCAAAGTCAAAGTCACTGTTATTGTTTTTAGAAAATCTTTGTCAGCAATCTAGCAGCTTCTTGTGTTGTGTTTGCCTTGGTAACATTCTCTTTTTACCTTCAGAATCTGTGTAACACACTGTGTTTAATACTGATAACATACTGCTACTACCTGTGGAGTTTGCTGTTTTTTCATGTTAGATTTTATATAACACACTGAGTGTTTATGCTGATAAAGTACTGTTATTACCTGTAGAGTTTGTGAAACTCTTGTAGGGTTTGTGTAACACGCTGTGTGTTTATGCTGATAACATGCTGTGTATGGACCTGTGTGGCACCACCCTGACTGTAGCCAGGAAACTGGTGGGACCTCAGGTACAGTATTAAGGAAAACTTCTTTAGTAGGTAATATGATGCATTCTTATACTAAAAAAATAACCTCCATCTTTTGTATGTTTTATGATATAATTTAGATAAACATCATATGTTGAATTGTGTGTGTAAAGTAATGAGAAGAATTTACAAAATGCAATAAAAATATAAGTCTACAGGGACCCACGAGAATATACCAAGTGCTGTTGATACTGTTATATAGTTGATGTGTAGCTGTGAGGAATATATGATCAGTTGTTGCAATGACATTTTTGAACTGCGTCAAAGGGACATTATATTTAGCCTCTCAGAAATTAATACTAGTCCTGTTCTTGTTGATAGCTAGTATCCTACCTCAAGACTCAACAGATAGGTGGCCTCATTTGGGGCTGTCGCCATGACAACAACAGAATCAAGGACTGTTTCCTGTACGTTTATAAGAAGGCTGAGCTACTCTGCGATCGTTATGAGCCCATTACCAAAGATGTAAGTTCAAATAAATATCACTTAAATACTTTTCGATTAATTATTTTACAGGCCAAGTTTGATGTTAGATTAATTTGTTTCAGCAATGTTCAAACTTAATTTGTCAGAAGTTTTATAAGGAAAGTTGCTCAATTAAATAATAAGTGTTTTATGTTTTAGTGTAGGTTTACTTTGGAATTGTGGTGAAGTGTGACCAGTTACATTCGAGTATGGTGGTAAATGTTAATCTTTCAGATGTGTACACGAATCAACAATGTAGCAGCCATTGCTGATTACCTAGAGACTTACCATGGCAAGCTGGGTAAAACCTTTGACGTCTACAATGAGTGGCGACTAAAACACCAGAGTTACACTCCTACTAGTGACCTAAACAGCTATGATAAGACAGGTATGCAGAGTAGGATAGAAACAAATCAATATTGAAAATTAGCTGAGGTCATCTGTATATATGATGCATTAATTACAATCACTTTTTTCTTAGTTTTTATTTTTTTATTTCAGAGTATGAAGTCTTGGGGGGATTTTCTTACAATCCAGAGTCTGATCGTGAATATGTTATGGAGACAGCATCTCAGAAAACATCAACGACCACCTCATCAGGATCATATCATTCTGTGATTGTGCAGAGCCCCACAAGGCCATGTCATGACCACTTAATGGCTGTTCTCCGTGCCCTCAGCAGGATCATGGCTTACAGGGTAAGCTCTGTAGCCACAGGGAGCAGTTTGTGAGTGGTAAACCCAAAGAAATATGGATGAGTCCTTCTTTGAAGAACTTCGTATGAAGCCTTCCCAAAGTAGTGCCCTTCCCTATAGAGCATAAGCTTAGTCGTTCCCTATTAAACTATGTATCAGAGCACACACATACTAGTTCACTAGAAGATTCTTACAACATCGTCTACCAATCTGAACTACTAGGACCTCCCAGTAGTATTTTCCCTTGCCTGTGCATCAGTCCTAGATTTCACTGACTCCCTAGAGGTATATATAATTTCCAACAAGAGCAATAGATGACTTTTTTTTTCAGAATATGTACAGGATGTTAGTTTATAACTACTGGTATATCTTTAATGGCCTGGTGTGTCATGTCATATGGCCATGTCATAGGTATTCCATGCTTTTCACAAATAGGTCAAAAGTTCACATCAATAACATTCAAAGTCTTGCTTAATGAAAAGAAGTTGCTAAAGGGTTTAATATATTTGACCCCTGTGACCTTGAATATGGGTCAAGCTAATTTCATTTCGCAAATTTTGTCGGACTTCATCATAAAAATTTATGAACTAGACATTTTGTTTTAGACCCTTTGGTTAATCAGAAAAAGTTGTTTGAAAGTTTTATCATATTTGACCCCTGTGACCTTGAAAATGTGTCAAGGTCATTTCTTTTTGCAAACTGTGTTGGGTTTCATTCAAGAAACCTGCCAGCCAGATATCACAACTCTTAGTCTTTTGGTTTCTCAAGCACAAATTAAACTGTGAAAACCTAGAAATGTGATTGACTTCTTCCATTCTGAACTGACTTTCCATCAACATGAATTTAGCTCTAGCTTTTTATTTGAATTGTCTTTGTTAAACCATATTCTTTACAACAAAATGTTGATTAAGTCGCAGATAAATTTTCTGTCTGAAATACCTGTGTAATAGGAATAAGAAATGTCATAGATAAAACAGCTGATCAAGCTGATCTCTGCATGTATTGAAAACTGTTTAATTTAAAGTATTTTCCCATTTCCCAAAAATTCCAATATAACTGGGTTTGACTATATATGACACTTTCTACCATATACAAGCATTGATGACAAGTTTGATAACTACATGTCCCTACAGATAAATCTGTTTGTATATGATGCCCTGCATGTGTTGCTTGGCCTGAAGTACCCAGATGACCCAATACATGTGTGCCTCCAGCCTCTTACAAAGTTCCTTCAGAATTACTTCGACTCCCTACAGGCATGGCTTTACCCAGACTGTTTTAGGAGGGTCACAGAGTGCCTATGGATATTTATAGTGCAAGTATGTATGAATCCTTCAGAACATTCTATGTTTATACTGTTGTATATCATTATCATACTGTTGCTCTGGATTCTAACTGTATATGATGTTCTTCCGATTGGAGCCATGATAGTAGAACCCAATCGATAGGGCAGTGACCTACACAACCTTAGGGAAAGATCTGAGGTGTGTGTCTCAATGCTCCCTATCCTTGATGGTTTGTTTTTTTCTTGGATAGCAACCACAAGGTGACTTTAAATGAACCTGATTGTTTATGTGGCGATAAAAACAGCAAACAAACAAATATCCTTATAGATTGCTTACATGAACATTGCTTTTGACAAATTCATACAAGTAAAATTGGTTTTTCATAAACTTATTCAGATTTGAAGTAATTCAGTAAAAGAGTTAATCTAAAAGTTGCTTTCCTGTTTCAAACATTCACAGGTTTACCTAAAGCTTGATATTGTTATTTCTCAAGTTTTATGGTTTACCAAAAGCTTGATTCAGAAGTTGTTTTTAATTTCAAATTTGTATAGGTCTAGGAAAAGCTTGATAAAGTAGTGTTTTTTGTTTTTTAATTTCAAATTTTAATGGGTTTACCGAAAGCTTGATACAAAAGTGTGCTGTTGTTTTCTTTATGAAATTTGATTGTCTTTTTCATGTTATTTTCTGTGTCACACCATCCTCAAAAAATAGTGAAAGATAGAAAGGCTGGAAATACCAGCTTTCACAGTGTTTCCCTCATGCAATATTTATCCTGCTTTTGTGATGTTCTACAGGATTTTGAAGATGAATTAGGCAGGTTAATGCTAGGAGATGTCAATGGGGAAACATATGCTCGCACACTCGTACAGGCTATCTCAGTAAGTACCAGTTCTTATGGACCTTATTACATATACCTGATTTAACAGCTTAGGAAGTATTTTAGTGAGAAGCACTGAAAAATACTATACCTTAATTGGATTCAAACTAAAAACATTTCCGTCTCCATCCAGACTCTCTTCTGCTTGACTAAAGAGGGTCACTAGCCAAGACTAGTAAGGCAGTCTGTACTCTCAACTTCTAGTATACTCCCTTCACTAAGTCTTCAACTTCGAAGACAACAACAAGCCAGGTTCTTTAGCTCCAAGGAAGCATCTTAATTTCCTTTAGCTTTTACCCTTGGAATGGTCAATGATAACAAATTTTTAACAGGAAGGAGTAAAGAAAAATACCATCTGGTTGTGTTAAAACCAGCAACCTGTCTCTAGCTGGACTCTCTACTGTTCTAAAAAAAGGAAATTTCAACAAGTCGGAGCTAGTAAGGCAATCTATTCTCTCAACTGCGACAGTATGATGAAAGAGTTGTGAATAATTGAACTATTAGTACAGACTATGTATTTTGTGTTGTCCATAGAGAACTTGATCTTGAACTTCATTTTGTTTCAGCATCTACTCACATTCATTACTCACCAAGACAAAGACATAAGGAAAGATCTACTGCTTTCACAGGCTGTGAGTAATTTCTATACTGATAATAAACATGGTTGTCACAGGTCATACCTTATGTTTAACTCCAATATTTCTGTTTACTGACTACCACTGATAAAATGCCATGTTAACAGTACGTTGTGATTTAACCAAGCATTGTATCAGTGTTGATGTTTACTCTGAACATGTTAGCTACTGTCTGATATTGATTCTGTTCTGACAGAAAACATCTTAATGGTTCTGTAATCTTACCTTTTATAAGATATCACAAGACCTGAAGAGTAGAAACCATGATCATCAGTAGATGTAGGGATTAACAGTTTGTTTGTGTATCATTTACTAAATAGATATGGGGATTATACATGACTTTTGATATTTTTTAGGAGGAAGTCATGTTCAAGCTACAGTTGTTCACAGAATCAACATCACAGTTGATGAAGCTTCATCATGCTCTCAAAGAACATGTAGGTAGATTTATGGTTAAATTTATATTGTACATGTGTCTTAAATACTCAATCTTTCTCTCCCTCACATATATGTTACACTTTGTGACAGATCCCTTTCCAGCCATGTTATAGATATTTTCATGATTTGGCTTGTCGTTTTATTATGTATTATCTTACTTCATACAAAAATTTGTGTAATTGTGTACTTCAAACAGTTTATTTTTGCCAATATCTTGTGTTCCGTCTCTAATCTCAGTTGGATGGTTTTGTAAATACCTAAGTGCATGATGTGATGATTGGCAAAACACTTCATTTGTATCTGAGCCTTGAGGATTTGAATGAAGTGAATATAAGTACATTTCTAATTGGTCAATAATAAAAATGTACATTGTGAAGATATCTTTTTAAGATACAACTGGCTAAGGTACCTTTTTTTATAGTATGTATGGACTGACACCTCTAGTACCTGTACTCTGGATGGGGCTCTACAGTCAACACTTCACAAGATGAGGCGGGAACTTCAAATGTACACCAAGTGTTTCAGTGGGAAACAGCTGACCGACTGGATCATGGCAAACCCACGCCCCTTTTGTAACATGTGTAAGTGACTTACTCTTAATTAAGATTCTGTGTTAGTATTTTGTCTGATGTCAGTTATATGCAGCAAGTGAGTAAGTCTTATGTGAACAACAGCCTGACTAGTGGCTAGTTGTAGTGCTGTTCCTAAACTAGTAATTCATGCAATACTTACCACAAACCCAGTGTTGTGATGACCTTAAAGATGTTAAAAACAATAATAATTCCTTAATTGGTAGGTTTTTTCTATTAATGGCCAGTAGTCTTTTGACTTTATTTTTTCTGAAGGATAAGATCTGTAATGATGAAATGTGGATGCTTTGGTACATTGTAGGGGAGCAGGTTTCCTTAGAGGACATCATGAACACACGCACGAACTGTATTGCTGTGGCCCAGTGGCTCATGGATCAAGGACTTTTGGTGGATGTTGAAACAGAATTCTTGGGGCAGTTTGGTGTGTTGTTACAGCTTTTTTGAATAAAAAATGATCTAACCTCTGCATCTGTATGATACATTTATCCCATTTGGAACACCCAAGTGGAATAATTGATATTTCATGAAGAAAAAAAATCATATTCAATAACATAGTGTTGACAATTAATCTTTCATAGATAACATAGCAAAATAACAGCACGTTGAAGTGATATTTTGGTAGCTGAAAGTAACACCATTAGATTGATACTGCCCAAACTAGTACTGGGGTAACAGAGGTATGTCAGAGAGTGAAAAATTAAAAAAAAAAACTCATTTAAGTTAGGAAGAAAGTCAGGGCTGATGAATGATAAATATCACATTAAGCTTTTTAGAATATTGACAAAAGAACATCATATATGATTTTTTGTAAATTGTAGGAGGCAGTATGAGCCTTTTTTTCATTTTAGAGTATTGAGTAAATAAGATTATAAATAATTTTTGTATATTGTAGAAGGCAGTATGAACCAAACTCCTGACATAGGCTTCACAGACGAGCCACTAGACCTGAATTACCCAGCCCTGAGTATCCACAGTAGCATGCCAACATCTCAGCATGTATCAGATATCAGTAGTTCTGAGGATACTCCCACAGGCTCCCCCTCAGGGCCATCTGCTATGAATTTTGTTCCGTCATTGGGGCGTATTTCCAGGGATAGTACTCCACTGCCTCGGTCACGACCATTAAGTCACCTGCTTCAGAGCCGGAGCAGGAAAGGTACACCATTGCCACGATTTACAAATCTATCTGTTTATGATGATCAGACAAATTCCCTGAGTCCGACAGAAGACGATCCTAATGATATCAGTCGTTATGGCCTGGGAGTCAGCTGCCCTGACGATGACTTCTTAATCAGCGACAGCTATGACTATGAATCACCATCAGCTGGTAATTTCACACCACACCTCGATTCCATGCTGGCAAGTCGGCTGTTTCAAGATGGTGTCTCTCACTACTATCATATGACAAGTCTGATGGACTCAAACATTCACTCTCAGCCGACATCCCGCGGTCCAAGTATGCCTAGTGAACTCAATACCTTGGTAGAACAGTGCTTCCAGAGGAAAATCGTGCCAGATTATATCACCACCATATTGTACAGCAGGAGGAAATATGATTCAGTTGCCAAAATGTTTTCTCAGAAGCTACTACAAGATCCTGATTGTGATCTTGTCTCAGGTGGATCAGACTCCACCTGTGTTACCAGTTAGTCTATCAGGAGGTCTGTACTGCATCATTCTAGTCAGTTGTTTGATTATAGACAAATGCTTTCTTTAATCTTTATGACCGATATTAGAATCTGTCTGGATACTGATTCACAGGTACTTTTAGTCATTATCCTATAAATTTAACATCACACTCCAATAACCTTTATAAAGATAAATACTTGTGACACACTATTAAATGTATTGATATTGAAAAAAGAAAAATGTTTTTAAAATTCATTAATATTGAATTATAACCATGTCAAAAAACCTTGTTGGTATTGAAATCTTTGGTCAGAAATACCTAAGAAGCTGAAATGGTTGGTGCCAGAAAATATCTTCTAGTATTACAAATTCTTATGTTTTAATTAAACGGTTCTTTGGGTTGGAATTGAGTTGTTGACCTTCACTGGATTCTGTTGACATCAGGCTGTAATGTGTATAAAGGTTCAAACTTTATTCCTGAATGTTTGGGTTTTTTGTATGTATGTAACATTACTTAGATTTGTAAACTTATGTAACACCAGAGCAACATCTGTATAAAAACCTAAGTTACCTACTTAATATATATTAGTATCCTGCCATAACTTTCAAACATTTTCTTATATTATGTCAACATCTTGAGAATTGAGACAAATTGATGGCAGAAATGTTCTGTTCTATATTTGTATCAATATTTACCAATTATGACAATCAAAACCACATTGTTGTTTTTATTTAAGCTCTTTATTATTATGTCTTTTCTAACTTTTATTTCTAAGCATATTTATTTATATTTTACTGACAATGTACACATGACGAGTTTAGTGCTAATACAAATTAATGTTCATTGTTCACCATGATAAAATACGTTTATAGACATATTTTCAGATTTACGTAAATGAGAAGACGAAAGAGCTTATTTTTTTTATAAGGTGAATGATGATAGTGCAATGCAAAATGATACGTTTATTTTACTTAAATGTCAAAGTTGTCTAAATCATCAGTTGAAACATGACCTATGTGTAGAGAGGTAGAAATTACCTGTCAAGTGATGTGTGTTATTGAAATTAAATTTTACATTTGGATTGTCTTAGTTATTTACATACAATATTCTATATTATAATGCCCACCAACCATGCTGTTCTTATTATTTAATGTTTTTATAGGGATGGAGGCAATAAATTTGTTTCTTTTCCCTAAATATATAGTCATGAGGTGTACATGTGATGTTAAGTGTAAGATGAAGCAAGGTAACTGGTGATAGGTGAGATATGTACAGAAGTTCTTATATACAATGTATACTAAATCATTATTGAGACCTATTTACCTTCTATATTTAACTTTAGTCTGATAGGGTAGACAATATAGTCATTATTTAAAAGACTTTTTGCATTGCACATGTTTTAAACAAACTTTTAAAGAATATCAGATCATTTTGATTCTTTACATCAGATGTAAAATTTTCTATTTCATTACCAATACATTCCAGTATTACATATTTGTTATATTTCCACATACCATATTTAATCCCACAAGGACGCTTTAAAAGTTGTCAGACAAACTGTAGTGTATTCAGAAAGTTTAGGGAAGGGAAATAATCTGACTTACTCAGCAGAGTAGCTTTAAAGAATTGTGAGAGTCACTTTTCGATATTCTATTTACTTTATCTTACAATGAATGTTATAAAATGTTCAGAAGACAACATCATATGATTCTAGATGATAAAATTTAACATAATTGCATACATGCTAATTTGTACAGTGAAGATCAAATCAGAAACATACAGAAGTTTTCAAGGTGCTTCATTCATTATTGCCAGGATGATTTCAATAAAAATGTCCTTGAGTAAATCCTGATATATGTGTTTATGTAAATCATTCTTTCATGTATATTTTTGTACATACACAAAAGGATGTGCCAATATACCACTGTAAACCAGTAGTGAGCTCAATACAAACACCTTATTACACACTTCCAAGTGCAATACGATTATCATTCAGTGCCAAACATATCATTGTTTAAGAGAATTCCTTGTGATATTTACATCAATCATTCCATTCCCTAACATGTATTATTAGAAAAAATAGTCAAAAATATAAATTTTACATGCAATGGAATTCCAACATGTGTCTCTGTGTATGGAAGAATATTGTGGTTTACTAATTAGTGCTGTCCTGATTTGTATAGACTCGTTGGTGCTGTCCTAATTATACTGGACTCATTATCATGCTGTCCTAATTGTAGTGGACTCAGTTATCATGCTGTCCTAATTATACTGGACTCATTATCATGTTGTCCTAATTATACTGGACTCATTATCATGCTGTCCTAATTATACTGGACTCATTATCATGCTGTCCTAATTATACTGGACTCATTATCATGTTGTTTTACTTATAATGGACTCATTATCATGCTGTCTTAATTATACTGGACTCATTATCATGCTGTCTTAATTATAATGGACTCATTATCATGCTGTCCTAATTATACTGGACTCATTATCATGCTGTCCTAATTAAAATGGACTCATTATCGTGCTGTCCTTTTTATTATAGACTCATTGGTGCTGTCCTTATTGCAATTAACTCATTGTCATGCTGTCCTAATTGTAATAAGATTCATTGGTGCTGTCCTAATTGTAATCAACTCATTATTATGCTGTCCTAATTGTTATAGACTCATTGGTGCTGTCCTAATTGTAATTAACTCATTATTATGCTGTCCTAATTGTTATAGACTCATTGGTGCTGTTCCGATTGTAATTAACTCATTATCATGCTCTCCTAATTGTTATAGACTCATTGGTGCTGTCCTAATTGTAATTAACTCATTATCATGCTGTCCTAATTGTTATAGACTCATTGGTGCTGTCCTAATTGTAATCAACTCATTATCATGCTGTCCTAATTGTTATAGACTCATTGGTGCTGTCCTAATTGTAATTAACTCATTATCATGTTGTCCTAATTGTTATAGACTCATTGGTGCTGTCCTAATTGTAATCAACTCATTATTATGCTGTCCTAATTGTTATAGACTCATTGGTGTTGTCCTAATTGTAATTAACTCATTATCATGCTCTCCTAATTGTTATAGACTCATTGGTGTTGTCCCAATTGTAATTAACTCATTATCATGCTCTCCTAATTGTTATAGACTCATTGGTGCTGTTCTAATTGTAATTAACTCATTATCATGCTGTCCTGATTTTTCATAGACTCAGCAGTACTATCCTTATTTGATTAGTACTCTCCTGGCATGTAAAACTCATTAATGTTGATCTGATGTGTAATAGACTTGTTAGTGCTGTTCGGAGGTATTTAAGGTCTCTCAGCATGACTTTGGTGCTAAATGAATGAGAAGTAGTGAGGTGCATTACCATCACATAATTCTATACTGGACATGTTATACTTTGTCCCACGAAGACTCAGTGGCAACAGATGTGAATACATACATAGGCCAGCATTTGTAAGTGGGACAGAAGAAGAGAGGATGTGTTTGGCAGTGTACTGCATATAGAGTCATGCCGTGAGAAACTGAGAGGGATGTGGTAGCTGCTTAGTGCGGAGAACATAGGCTGGCCTTGAAGGATTCAAGGCTGTATGCATCAGTCAGAGAGGAGGGTAAGCTGTTTCAGTCCACTATGGTCCTTGGCAAGAAAGAGAGCTTGAAAAACTCTTTGAATACCTGAATGAAGTCAAACTTTGGTACAGCTTATTATAAGGTTGTGAGTGATCTTATAGAAGTTGACTAGCCTGGCCTTCCTATGACAACTTAGCCAGGGGTCGCCTCAAGTGGATTGATATGGTCTGCTTGGTATGAGGCCCAGACGGAGCTTGAGTATGCAAGTTGAGGTCTAACTAGGGGAGAGTAAGTGAAGCAGACAGTTGAAGGAGATGGGATGACTTGTTTTTAGATGTCCTGATGACGAAGCATTTATCAGCATTAAGATTAATTTGACAACCAGTTTGCCATTTCTGGAGGTTAACAAGACCTTGCTGGAGTTGCACACAGTCTCTCACCGTGTTGATGGGTCTATATAGGAGACAATCATCAGCAAAGAGATGAGCATTGAAAAGTACAGATTCAGGGAGATCTTTTGAAAAGAGGAACAGTAGAACAGTATCACATCCACAGAATATAAAATCATTTGTCAAAGGAGATGAAATTTTCCCCATATTCATTCAGATATTGACTTTCATGTTACTTAACTTGAGGAATTTGTTACATTTTTGCTGAGAATTTATTTGTCACTTTCTATCTCTAAATCATATATTGTATGTTATGGTTTAATGTTAATCTTGCTTCAGAATGAAAATTGTATTTCATATTGACAATTATTTTTATAACTGTGATATTTTTTATTTCAGAATTGCATGTTGCTCAAATGTTGATGAAGTGTTACCATGTTGTGATTGTAAGTGGAAACATAAATAAAAATGTAGATTAAATTATTGCTACTACAGTTGGAAGATGGTTTCTCTTTGTCATTTCATGTTTTTATATATTTTATTAGTTCAGTTATCAAAATGTTTCAATGACAACAGCTAAAATATGTAAAGAAAACTTAGCTATATGAGTTCAAGTACCGAATAGTCAAGTGCGCAAGTCATCATTTTCACAAAGAAAAAAACAAATTTCAAAACTGAAAGTATATTTGAGACATTATTTTTTGTTTTTAGGTTTTATCACTCTAACAGATGATCGTCTGAGCTGTATTTATAATATTAGTTCATCAAAATATTTTATTACTGTAACATAATGCTTCAGTGTATATTTGTACATACACAATAGCAAATACATCTGTTTGTCATTTCATTATTGTTGCTGGAGTTACTGCCCTTCTGTTGGATTCAAAATCATTTGGCAAGAACAAACTTCTTCAGCATCCTCTGTTATGAAAAGTATTGGTAAATTATCATAGGCAAATGATCCTCAATTCTTCAATATTAAGATTTTATATTGCCAATCTTTAGACTCCTTCACCTGCAGAGTTAGCCACTCGACTCCAAAATTGCATTTAATCAAGCTTAATTGGCTAAAGTAAATTTTATGATGTATGAAATGCTCAACAAATCAATATTTGACATTTTTCAAAATTTACTAACAACCAGTTTGCCTAGCATTATCTTTCAGGTAAATATTTGGTACTGGTGAGAAGTTTTTTTTCAGATGTTTAAACAACATGTTACCTTCATATTAGTCTGTGTTCCTCTTATCAATGACGGGTACTCTTCATTTACATTCCAAGAAAAAAAAGGAAAATCCAATGACATTGTTCTACCGAGTTTTCTCTGGCTGAATTGCTCAACAATGCATTTTAAAACTGATGAGAATTTATATAAGGATCTAAAATGATGAGATCTTGTTTTAATTATCATTGAATAAGAATTGGAATGATTTGAAGGTCATGTATGAAACAATTTATTGCCATTCAGTATGCATTGTGTTATTTGGTTTTTGATTATGAATTTATTAAAGATGTATCGGGATCAGACTGGGGACCTGTATACTGTTGTACATATTTTGGACATTATTGCTTTTGACAGTAAATGCAGAGTATCAAATTGAGAGTTGAATGTCATGATAAGGCTTGTAACTCTGAAAAGAAGGTTGCTTTATTTTTTGTTTAATGTACAAAAACAGCAGTGCTTATTTGTAGTCTTTTTTCTTTTCTTTTTTTTTTTTTTTAATTTTCTTTACTTTGAAAATAACACAATTATACTTATCCAGGTTGAGCTTCATCAAACTAGCAGAAATGACTTTGCTTGCATATCCTTTATAATTACGGTCATTGTCGCCATAGAAATCGTGACAAGATACTGTCAGAAAATGGTTATTAGATACAAAGGCTCACCCTGTTGAATAGTTTAGAATAAATTGTATAAGAATTTTTATAGACAGCAAAAAGGACAAGCACTGAACTAACATGCTTTGGTATTTATTGTTGATATAAATAACAAATCCTTGCAAGGAAACTTAACCTATTTTCAGAGAGGTATCATGCTTGCTTGCAAAATTGTTGCTATGAGCTACATAATCTGATATAACAAAGAAGCCAGTAAGAAAATGTTCCCATTTGTTACACAAATTAATTTTTGATTAGTTATTGTTGATTGTTTAAGGAGAGTTTTAATTATGTTGTAGTAATTACAAACTATTAAAATGGATTAAATGTTAGATGTTTTCATTTTTCATTGATGTGCATATCAAATAAAGCTAGAAAGAGCAGGGAGGGTTGGCAGGGAGGGGGAGGAAGGTGAAAATTGTAATGAACAATATGTAATGCATGGAAAGCGAAAGTACGCATTATCATGTAAAGGCTTTAAATAACTCCAGCTGTTTCAAACGTGGGATGATGCAGATATTTCTATCATGTGGTTTCCCAGTTGGGTATATATACAGGCGGGCTGAGCTGGGTTAAGTTTAGTCTGATTCTTGCTACCGAGCAGAGAAGACACCAACCAAGTTCACTCAGATCTGTTGTGTTATAATTGTCCTCAGATGAGACAGACCTCCCACTTGTTGTTCACTAAGGTAATCAACAGTTACTGCAGGGAGACCCTGATTATTTACTAACAGTAATACTGGCTTTAAGATACAGTTAATAGGTATCTGATAGTGAGATACTGACTATAAGATACTGTCACTAGATATCTGATAGTGAGGTACAGACTATAAGGTACTGTCACTAGATACTGACTATAAGATACTGACAATAGATATCTGATAGTGAGTTACTGTCTATAAGATACTGTCACTAGGTACCTGATAGTGAGATAATGACTATAAGATACTGTCACTAGATATCTGATATTGAGATACTGACTATAAGATACTGTCACTAGATATCTGATATTGAGATACTGACTATAAGATTCTGTCACTAGATAGTGAGGTACAGACTATAAGGTACTGTCACTAGATAGTGAGATACTGACTATAAAATACTGTCACTAGATATCTGATAGTGAGGTACTGACTGTAAGATACTGTCACTAGATAGTGAGGTACAGACTATAAGGTACTGTCACTAGATAGTGAATACTGACTAAGATACTGTCACTAGATACCTGATCGTGAGTAACTGTCTATAAGATACTGTCACTAGATATCTGATAGTGAGTTATTGACTATAAGATACTGTCACTAGATATCTGATAGTGAGGTACTGACTATAAGATACTGTCACTAGATATCTGATAGTGAGGTGCTGACTATAAGATACTGTCACTAGATATCTGATAGTGAGGTGCTGACTATAAGATACTGTCACTAGATATCTGATAGTGAGGTACTGACTATAAGATACTGTCACTAGATATCTAATATTACCAAGAGAAAAACCACAGAAAAAGTCTGTTGAATGTTTTTTCTAAAGAGGAACGTTCCATTATGATCATAAATCACTTACCCTGCTGCAGTGACCTAAATGAACTAAAGCATTTAGAGCTACACCCACACAATAGGAAATTTGTGAAATGATTGGACCATCTATCCATATTCAACAGTATAATGAGTATCATTACAGGGTACTTAATAATACACACATGGCATACCAGATTGTCATTCTTGTCTGACTGATAGGCCCTTAGGCCTTCTTCAGTGACAAAGCCAACACATCAGATTATATTTGTTAGGATCTGTTTACATGGGTCTTTTGTTAAGTCAATAATCATTAAACTTCAATCATAGGTAGGTTTTTATGCGCCCCCAACATTTTTGAGGGGCATATACTGGTAATATAACCCATGGCTGGCTTGTCTTGCCAAGTCCAGAATATTGTCATCACCACCAACTTCCTAGAGATCTTAATGAAACTGACTTTAAAAAAAACCATGAGAATTCCTTGACATATTTGATTTTAATGGTTCAAATGTCAATTCAGCATTACTATATAGACTTCAGGGAGAAATAATGTGTACTAGATACATGTTCTAATGCATGGGAATGGAAAAAATGTTTTAATTTTTTTTCAGACCTAGAAATATAAATGACATGTTGTCAATATGGCATCATTGATTTTACTTCTGAAAAAATAAATTATGAGATATTTAAACAATCATAAATAAACAAACCTGAGTAATGAGATTTGAAATAAAGCACGGTACTAAAAATATAACATAAGACTAAACAAAGACACAAGTGTAAAGTAAATAGTATAAAATTATTAAATGTTAGACTGAAAACAACTGTTTAAAACTAAAACGCATATTAGCTTCATACATACATTTAATTTTGTAAACATTCAAATTATGAGGTCTATGATAATTAATCTCAACAAGGGTTTTGAAAATGTAGTCAAGGTTTCAAATGAAGACAACAACGTAATTTTTTATGTCGCCAATGGGACTCTCTTCCCCGAGGGAAAGTATAAACAATGATAAAATAATATCAATGAATTTAAGCCAATAATTTATCAGTAAAAATTCTATATAAAGCTTATAAGAGATGTCTTTATTAAGGACAATATTACTTTTTCATTGTATTCACATTTGTGTTGAGTGCTCCATATTTCTCTAAGAACAGCCTCTTCTCCTGCAATAAGAAACATTAAGGTAATCAATTTGTCATGTATCCTTCCAGCACTAAATCCATCCTCATTTGCAATTGATAAATCGTACACTTCCTTTCTCCAGTTATAATGGTAATTTCACAACATCAAAAGTTTAATAACCTTATTTTTATATGTAGTGCCTTCTGGGGGAATGGAATTCAGACATCAAACTGATTATTAGCTTCACATGTAAACATTCACCGATGAAATTAACAAGGCACGATTGTCTTTATTATAACCTCAGAGATGTGGATACAGTAATCAGCTTGTTTGTCTGTCCATACGTCCGTCTGTCCTTTTTTCTTTTTGCACAAAACTTGCATTTGTTGTCGTGTTCTCACCGAGGTTAATCTGTGGCTTTATATTCATGAGACTATGGGTTCAATAACCAGTGAAATCTTTCAATATTTTTTTATTGATATAGTTATGGGACTTTAAATGACAAAAAATTACCATTCTATACTTTCTTTATATGTATGTTTAATTTTTTTCAAAGTTATTATGAATGGGGTCATTTGTTGTGATATGATATTTAACGTTGTAGAAGATCTTGTAGTTTAAAAGCAAAAAGAAAACTACATTATAATTATTTTTAAAAAAAATATTCAAGAACAGGCAAAATCTTCTATGTGATGAGCTATAGGCAGAGCCCTTCCTCAACATGTTTATAGTTTATTATAATGTTTCAATGAGATGGATGCAATATACAATCAAGTGAATATTGTCACTTATGTAATTAATTGTATTTATCAACAGTGCAATGTTTCTCAATACATAGCAGGCAGAAGTCTTAAGCTCAGATTGTGATACTGCATCAATGCATTCTTATCTAGTCCATACAGTCCACAAGTTTATGATCACTGTGTGTCCACGTTTGGATGACTTGGGAATGATCAATATCTCGTATCCAAACATGATCAATACAGGAACCACAATGGTGAGTTGGGGCAGAACCCACATAATATCTCATGTATAAGAGAAAACACACAAATTTGTTGAAAATCTCAATACAACCATGAAAATTAATGTGCAGAATGGCATAAAATTGCCATTTTCTTGGCATTCAAAGTCCCATAACTCTTTTAGATATGAACAGATTCCAAGAGATGTCTCATGTGGAGAACACCGGACCACAAATACGCAAATTATCACATGGAAAGTAATAAAATGGTAAGTTTTTGTCAAAGTCTTGCAAATATTGATGAATTTCACTGGTAATCACAGGTTTCATAAATATAAAGCTACATACCAAATTTGGTGAGAATCTAAAAACAAATACACAAGTTATTATGGAGAAAGCATAAAGGAATGGACGGACAGACTGATGAACAAGCTGATTAATATACGGCACCCACATCTCGATGTGGGGTCCTAATTAAGATTTTTTTCCAAACAGAGTACTCTTGACATCTTTCAATGAAACATGCATTGCCATATATTTATGCAGATATAAACAGCACATAGAAATTGTAGATACATACCAATATACAGAAATTATATATATATATATATATATATACAGACAGATATATATATATATATGGATAGAGGCAGTTATATATAGATACAAGATATGGACTTATATTACAACAATCAATAAAAAAACATATATTGGGTTAAATGTTATAATCAAAGTGATTTAAATTAGTTATCATGATAAAAAATTGTAATGTGATTATTTTAAGTTCATTTCCTAAACCCAAATGATAAAACTAGTCAAATATTTTAAAATATTATAATACTGAGAGTAATGGCATCATCCATTACACAGCACACATCTAAAGATAACCCTTAAAGATATCTAGATCAAGACATTAACTCATGTGATTCATCTATCTGTATGCAAAATTTATCCTGCCAACTTGACAAACTGGAGACATATATTAACACAGATGAAAAAATTTGTCACTCTGTATGTGGCCTTACAATGACCTCAGAAACCTTGTCATGAGAGGGCTGAAGAAACTGCTCTGTAGTGAAGCCAAGAGGCAATGAAGCTCTCATGCATCAATTATCTAATCAAGATAATATTTCACTGCTCACTGCCATTATATATCATCCAAAATTTTGTCAGACATTAAGCCAATAATAAGAACCGCATGTTCAACTGCGATTAAACAGTGCCAGGATACAAGAGCACATTTTCTGTAATGACTATGACCTGGCTCTTCAATGATCGATGATTGATTATCTACTCAATATTTCTTTGAAGGAACTGTTACTCTGAGTGTGGTCAAAATCTATTTTCTTACACATCAAGAAATTGTGTTCTAGAGTAAGACACCATATAAGAATGATTTTCCGAACAAGGAACATAAAAAAAAGCATAAAATGACTTTCGTGACAAATTCTATGAATAATTCCATAAAGGAAATGATTTCCATGTACACTACATATAGCCTGCTTAATGTTGATAAGTTACCTCACATAGACACAGTAATTTCTTTTCTTCCCATCAAAGTTGGATTTCTTATTCTAATTACCTTGTAAAATACATCTTTTTCCTTCATGTGCCTTCTTCTTTTGGTTGCCTATCAATAAATACATCAATTACTGAGGTATTACATGTACAAAAATGCCTGTTTTTTATTGCTAAGAAATGATTTATTTAATCTAGGATGTGCTGTTTATACAAGTCTAGATCTCATCAATGATGCAGTGATTGTTGCATTCTCAGCATAAATAAGCTCTCTCAAAAGAAATCATTGAAAAATTCTATTTTTGTCTAGCAAAAGAGTTACATACAACACATACAAGAATGCCATTGACTAACAGTCTTTAGAGAACAACAGATATGGAAAAAGTTAATGACCATGTGTAGCATTAGCAAATAGCTGGTTATCTTAAAATTTACACAAAATGACAGATGAAATACAGGAGTTTCATTAACATGTATCGCAGTTTTTGATGCCCATTATTTTCTGGCATTCTATATTTTCCATATTCATGTGATTTATGTTTTAATTCTGCAGGCAATATGATATATAAAAGTTAATTAAATTTCATTTCTGCTACAAATATAACATTTTATTATATTTGATTTAACTTTCCATTCTGTAGCCATTATGACAAATTTGTTTTTGTGGTCAATGTGACATCCCTGAATCTCCAACCTTTGATGTTTACATGTCGCAGTTGATTCGATATTCAAGGGCCTGTTCTTACATCAAGATTTTCATGCAAGAAGTTGTCAACTGACAAGCTAATAACACAGGATTTTAAATGATGCAGGTTGATGAAAATTATGGGGAAGTTGCACAGTTATCATATGATCTTACGGTGAAAAATGCTATTTCCATGTGCAATATGAAGCTGAATGTGTTTGATGCTCCTTAGTTTGCATGTTGGTTCTGTTTTTGTATACCTTATTCTCATTTAAGAACACAACATTTCTTAAGTACTTGGATTAACAAAGATTTATATGGCCCATTTCAGTGATGAAGCAAAAGATGTTTACTGTTCTGAAACGCCTGGTCTTATTCTCCTTGGATTTTTCAGGAGTCTCCATGTAAATCTTTAGTTTTGTTCATATCTTGCCCTAGTTTTAGCGAATTGAGTTTGGATTATGACTATGTTCACATGTTGGTATTTTCTTGTTGTTTTTGAGAAGTAAGTGTGAATTCTGCAGTCAGTATGAAATATTCATGTAAATTTTTTTGCAGTCAATATGACCAAATTTTTGTATGAAGACCTACTGTTTAAGGTACAGGTATAGACAATGAGATAATGTGGAATATCACAAACTAAGATATCTATATGACAAATTCATGTGAATTAAGTTTTGTTTTTGTTGCCAATATGACAAATTAAGTTTCATTTCCGCAGTCAATGAATATGGCAATCTTATTGTAGACTTACCGTTAGGTATAGGTAGACACCAAAGATAATGTGGAACATCAGAAAGATGACACCAAGGGAGATCATTGAATAGGAATCGTACATGGTCACTTGATCAGCAGTGCTAAATCTAGTTAGAGCCTTGATACAGGCATTTTGAGCAGCATGGAGGGTGAGGAACATCTGGGCACTCAACACATAGATATCCTGTCCAACAAACATAAAGCCTTTAATAACATAACTACACAGTTATCATTGCAATAACATCCATTTAGTGACTGGAAATGAGTTAAAAGCCATGATTAATTATTGACTAAAATCGGATAGGATTTTCGGTGTAGTTAATCAATTACATAACCAGCTGACTGTGTGTTTAATATTCATGAAAAATGAATTAATTCTATATTGCAGTAATATTTTAATTTCTTGTAAATATAAACAAAAATACCTCACTAACCTTATGAATTCGCATAAGAGTCAATATTATTAAATAAAGTGTTATCATGTTTGTGTATGTGTATCTGAGTGATATGATAAACATCGTACACTCCTGCTCATGTGAAATTTATGAATCTTACTACGAGTTTTTTGTTTTATTTTGCTAGAGGTATGGAAAAATAAAACAGATCATGGAGGGATTTTGGTGCCCACCTATATTTGTTCTTTAAAAGTGGGATAATTACTCGTCTTTCCTCTGCTTTTGCTGTTAGTTACATGAAATTTGAAAATTGCTCTAAAAATAGCAATAATAACCTTTAATTGTCAAACATGAGGAGATCACTTGTTTGGGATATTGTTTTTCAAATTAGTCTTAAAATCAAAAAGGTACAAACAGAGATTAAGGAGAACTTTCATTTGAAAGAGAGAGATCCATCCAGTACTTTTAAAAAAAGTAGCAATAACAAAATTTCTTTGCCATAATCCAAGATGACAACCTGTCAGCCATTTTGCATTTTAATAAATCTTAAATTAAAAAAGCACTAACAAGGACTAAGGGAAACCTAGATACAAAATTTCAGAAAGATCCATTCAGTACTTCCTCAGAAATTGCAATGATAAACTTTCATAGTCAAAATCCTGTCAATCATTTTTCTCCCAAGGTATCTTAAAATTCACAGGACAGTTAGGGACCCATTAAACCTTCACATAAAATTTGAGAGATTCGTCCAGTACTGCTACTTCTTTTCTCTTCTCTCCTCTGTTTTTTAACCTTCCTCTCAAGAAATATTGGCGATGATCTTTAATTACAAAATCCAAGATGGCCACTTATTGGCCATTGTGTTTTTCTGATCAGTCCTAAAAACAAATGGACAAAACCAGGGACCAAGAGGAACCCACTTATGAAATATGAGAAAGATCCATCCTGTTCTTCTCAAGAGATAGCAATATCATTTAAAGTAAACAAACAAAAAAGAAAAAAAAGACTTTCATTCTCAAAATGCAAGATGATGTTGGGCTATAAAAAGACATGTACAGGAGAGCAATCTAAAAATGTCAAGTATTGCAATGTTCTGGTAGAAAATTTGATTCAATTATACTGTACTATGCTATGTCAGTTATTTTTGGATAGATCTCAGAATCTTTCCATACCACAGATTTTTTTCTGGTATCAGAATGATCTTTATTGACAAACTGGTATTGTTGGTTTTTATGAAGAAGGATTTCACTCACTAGATTGGTAAGGTATGAGATGGTAGGAAGACTCTGTTTCACCACAAACTTAAATGCCACCGCTGTGAGGAAGAGGGTGATTGTCACTGCAAGTCTATCAGCTGCATCAGGTTCAATTGCAAATGATGTAAATGTCAAACTAGCAATCAGCAGCTGGAAAATTTGGCACAAAATAATTTATTTCCATTAATTTTCACTGCACAGGCCAAAGGAAAAAAAGCAAACTTCACATCCCATCAATACCAGATATTAATAGCAACATATTCAGTTTTTACTGGATGAAGTCCCATATTCCATAAGTCGACACTAGAACATAGCATAAGAATAAAAAGAATTTCGCATTGCTGTCACTGGTACAGAATGTTTCGTTCAAAATTTCTGAATAATGTATATTTAAATCCCAAGGGCACTAGCTTTTACAGTTTGAAATGTTTCCAAGAGAACTGTACATGTCAATTTGAAAAGCAAATCAAATGAGAGAAGATTTTTTGCAAATGCATTTGTATTACCAGAGATTAATTTACATGTATCTTGAGGCATGCTTTTAGACTTTGATTTGAAAACATTTCATATTGTTGGATGTTAATGCTGAGTGAAGTATTTATCAATGTACTTTGGATTAATTTAGATAAGTATAAAGAGATCATTTCTAAAGTAAGTATACACTATACAGTACCAGACAAGAACAGTAACTGTTCAAATACATAATTAACATAATTTATTCATCATTTAAATCTTTTCTCATATATATATATATAAAGGCTTCATCTACAAATTTAATATCAAATGAAATGATGTTTGTTTAAGTGCTGGGTACTGCGTTTTGGGCACACTGGATACCTCTGGTTCAAGTCAAATATACCAGGTACACTTAAAGCTATATATCAGTTCTAATTCACTCACAACAATGAAGATGATGTTCCACACAAAATAGCCAACTTTCCTGGCAACACGACACTGGACATGGAGAATTGGGTGGACCGTAGAGCTGGCATATTCAATGGTAGTTTGGTCTCGATATGTCTCCACATGGTTGTACACATTCCATTCTGCTGCATCCAGGAAGGTTCTGGTATTTATGGAGCTGAGGGCGTACTGATCTTCAATCAAATCCACTTCGTCTCCAGATCGTTCTGCTGATACTGATATGGTCAGGTCCTATAGAACGATAGATAATCACTATCCAGATATTGGTTTGAATGTATTTTGCCATTTTAAGTACAACCAAGGAAAGGTGAAGGTGTTCTGATGCTCTGACAGTCCAGTTTTTGTTTTGCATGGCCACCAATGACAATCAGGTCCTTCATACCATGGGCAGAAAAAATTAAACTTGGTCATTATATACGCTTCCAACGAGCAGGTAAAACGGATACACGTTGAAAAAGAAAGGTACAGAAACACAAGATAAAGTAGAGTATAGAGAGTTGAGGGTACATACAACCTTAGTACTCTCTAGGTTAGTGGAAATTTCCCTTTAGTCAGTAAAAGGTTGCCAGTTTAAACCCCCGCAGACTGATAATGTATGAAGTGTTTTCACAGACTTATTGGCCTTTAATTCATATCATAAACAAAATACACTACATTCAAATCCAATACAGTCACAGGATTATTGGAATACTGTTAAAAATCTCAAATAATTCTGCAAGGTTTTCACATATCATCTGTGTTTTGTTCTGATGCCCTACACAGCCTGTTGGCTGGACATTATTTGACTAAATTAAGTGTACAGATGTCACAATTCTGAATACAAATAAACTGTTAACACAACTGTTGCAGCAAACCATTTCGTACAATTAATGTGTTAAATCAAAATAAAACCGAAGTCTATTCATTAGTTCAACTCTTTTTATAAATTATATGGTATCAGTTTTTGATAGATAACCAAAAGTAAGTGAGATGGAACCATAAACTTAACACTAAAATGCTCCATTTGCATTCTACTTTATGACAACTATGTTTGTCACAAATTGCTAAGGACAGGTAGTATTGAAATTATTTATACAACAGGAGTACATCGCACATAGTAATAAAACCAAAAATCTATTGAATACACAGATGTATTTGACCATAATATTCCATTTTGTAATTTACAACCAAGGATGATGTTGAGTATGGATTTATGAGATCATAACCACAAGGTCAACATAAATTCTTCCAGATGGAAATTTTCTCTTGAGACTTACAAATCCACATTAAAATCTGTTTTTCCCATTGTAGCTTTGAAATGATTGTTAATGTGACACAAATTACCATGGGAGATAATTTTTCAATAACATAAGAATATCACATTAAAATGAATCATGGTGAAACCATCAAATATCTAATGTGTCTGGAAATAAATTAAAAAGGTTGTACTCTTTAAATGTATTACATTTTTTTATCTCTACTGATTTTAGAATCACCAAGAAGATGTGACTTTTCACACCTATCACAGGCATTATTAAGTAGAGTATTCAAAGTATTAGCCAGATATGATATAGTCCACTTCTGTATTTGATTCTAAATGAAAGTATCACAAGAAAATAAAAAATTAATTACCATCAACAATTCAAACAAGCAACTATCTAACATATAATTAACCTAAAATGTTTTGGTTCATTAAAAGAAGTTTAAAGAACCTTTACTTTTAAAATGTCAAATACCCCAGTGTTGGGGTCCTTGTTCTACAAAAGTCCTTTCCTCCCCTTTGAAAACATAAGGACATTTAGACCCTAAATTTGAGTGGAGATCATTATGAACAAAACTTAAAAGTCATGCCCACAAGCAAGCTACAGCTCTCCTATATCATTTTTTCATGGGCACATACAATGACTAAAAAACCCATCAACAATCCAGACCAACTGTCAACTGGAATAAGTTTTTCATGCTTAAATATATGACACAATCGACCTTGTGTATGTGTATCTGGAAATTAGAAAAAGCTTGATACTTCATCAACCTTGTAAGCTACATACCTGGCACATCTTGCATTTTGAACTGTAGGTAACACATAACAGGAATAGGAAAAGTCAACTGAACACCACATTGGGATTTGAACCCAGAACCACTGAACATAACATATTACAACACACTCAAGTCTTTATAGCTGATTATTAGATTACAAAATATAAGAACATAAGACACCTGAACATCAACAGGAAAGTGTTCCAGCTCCAGATTCTCTTTAAAGAATCCTCTAAACCTCCATAGCTGTACTACTAGAGCATGCTGATATGGATGCATGTCATAATGGATGTTGTATGTATTCCTACTAAAAGAAAATTCTCCATCAAGGTTCATGATGAGCAGCTTTGGGGTCCACATCACTGTAGGGTCAAATTCCTGAAATGATTCAAATGTTACATCTGTCATGTAGAAGAATAAAAAATGTGTGAAAATTCTAAAGCATAGCAAGTCAAGGCTAATAGGCCTCTATCACCTTTCTACAGATTCTGAAAAGACTTTGCTTAAGCTTTTATTCATGGACTTTTTCACAAATATTGCAAAATGATATCCCTTAATTTTCAGTATTTATTTATTTCAGTCCTTAAATATTGCAACCCCAGACCTTTTTGCATATTATGTTCAAAGTTTCTTCAACAATTTCAACACATTTAACTCATGAAAAGTTTCTCAAGATTATTCAGTTGAACAAAGTGAAATTTTTTTACCAAGTTATGCTACATAATGCTGGATGCTCTATTGGCAGATGAGCTAAAAATATTCATAATTCACCACATAGTTCACTTGTCTTGTCAAAAATCATCTAAGGAGAGAATTAATCTCAAATCGTAATGGGGTGATGTAGTCATCAAAGAAACATGCAAAAAGTAGTATCAAATGTAAATTGTTTCATCAAAAGAAAATCATAGGAAATGAAAGCCACTGAAGAAAATCAACATTAAAATGGACATTCTCCCAGAGAGACCAACTGCATTAGTTGCAAAATAATCCTTTCTAGCATCAGTAATATCAAATTTTACATTCAGTTATAATGTATAAAATCTCCTCCAAAGATCTGCACTAATTCAAATATCTGACTTTATAAATCTTCTTGTATTATTCCAAACTGTTACAATTTGACCCCAGAGGATGACCAAAACTGAATATTTCATGAATTCTGGTTCCAAGGTAAAAAATCAACAAACTTTACACACAGGTTTATTTTTTATAAATGACTTTCTATAGTTAACAGATATTTTTGACTGACTTTTCAGACTCCATGGATTACAGTTCACAACTACACTAGTACAAAATACTGTGTTAAGAAGTTTAATCTTTAATGGAAGATAAATATGATTGTACTTCTGATGATACCTACACCTACAGAATGTATCAAAAGATAATTCAATAATATTTAGTATATCTATTGCTAAAACTAATTTAATTCTAAACATACCGGGTTTCTTTTAACAGAAATTCTTCAAAATCCAAATATATTTGAGTGCTTAAATTTCATTTAAAATTTCCAATATTTGTCCTGCTCCCTAAAGAGTTATACATGTAAAATATAATGACATTTGTTCTTCTTGGATTTCTTTACAGTAACCCAGATCTAACAATTTTCAATATTTCTATTAAATTTGTATCACTTGGCAAAGATTTTCCAAAACAAGGTTGGCAAGTTTTTGTTTAAGCCTAAAATGTTTTTAGCAATTAGATCTTAATTAGATATAAGCCTTTATATATTATACATGTGCAGCACATTTCCTATTGCCACATTTAAAAAGTACCACCAGCAAGTCTGAATAAAAAGTTAAGTGACACTGTTTCTTCACAGGTGTAAACATCTACTATTTACATTTTACACAGGAATCATTTTTTAAAGGTAATCTGGCCTAAATGGTCAGTATGAAATACTGATTACCTTGACAAGAGTTTTATCCAACAATGGTTCTTCCCACTTAGCCTGTATGAAGATATCTGCCTCAAACTGTTGATTTACTGTGTCAATGTCAGTAATTTTCATAAATGCAACTTTTAACTCTACAGTCACCTGAAAAGTTAATAAAAGATATTGCAATTGAGGTGCATTTGATTATGTAACACAAAAATTAAAACTAAACAGAAAAAATATTGATGGAGTAGAAGAAATTCAATATGACAGCAATAGCAATATAAATATTCTGTTAATTTGCATACATTAATAAACATACTAATCTTCAAATTTATTCATTTATCTACAAGCAAATCTTCATGAGGACAGTGATTATTTTACCACCAAAACAATGGTTTGATGTTACTCATGACATCACACTAGCATTTCCACAGGTGTGTCAAACAATATTCATTACACCAGTGTATCACATGGTAAAACAGGCCAGCCTAGTAATTAGATTGAATCAGATTGATATCTGTTTGAAATTATAGAAAACATTATACTTTATTTGTTTCATATTTCCATTACTGAAATGTATTTTTTTGTAGAACAGCATTAACGTCTATCAATGTTATGGAATACACAAGACTCAGGAGCTGATGGGAACACTCAGCTATCATATAGATCACATGTGATTGTTGTAGTTAGATACTGTCTACTTTCTGAAATCATTTGAAAAACAAATCATTCCACCAAAAACATCAGAACAGCAATAAAGATTTTACAAAATTATGCCAAAAACATTACTCCGTTATCACCACATTGGGAGAAACTTAAATTAAGTGCTGTTCTGGAACAAGTTACAGTCTCTATTCAAAGCAGATGATCTGTCTACAGTAATCTAAAGTAATGAAAAAAAATCTGTAGAACTATTCTTATCTATCATAGAGAATCTGAAAACATAATGTTGGCTGGGAATGTAGAATATACGTGCATCAAACAAGTACCAAAGTGAAATTTTATTGTGGTATTGTATTTGTCAGAAACTTTAGTGTACCCTCTCCTCTCGCCTGATGTCCATTAATGCCCTCGTAGAACTGGCTGTTGACATGCAGCTTCCTGATTTTTGGACCTTTCTGCCTCCCTGTCCCAATTGCTCCAAAACCTGCTCCATGACAACATTATTCCTTTCTAAGGTATGAACAAGCTGCCTGAACACTTGAGCCAAATATCCTTCCTTTTGGGACGGCATATTTGTTTCTTCAGCTCCACTTCTTTTGCTCATTTTGGTCGTACACTTCAATGCTAGGTAGACATCTGCTAAAAAGTATTTTATGATGTTTGTAAACAAACCACATCTATTTACATATTTTAGACTAGCACTGTACAATTCAGTTGGTCTGAAAGTTTGATTTAATTGTACACACAAAGATGCAATAAGATTATGAAATTAGCATATGACGAGAAAAAATCTTTCTGATTTTGAGCCTGAAGATTTTGCATTAGTTTTCTTCCTAAATAAAAGTACATCAGAAAAGTCACTCAATAAAGGAACAACCAAACAAAAGAGAATTTCACTTAGTGATTCTGACAACATGTTGAATAAGCTATAATGGATTCAGATAACCAATAAGACTAGAACAGATAACCTTTCAGAGAAAATTACCCCTTTAGCAGACGACGTTGACCGAAAATTGTTCGCACCGAGACTAACTTTTGAAACCAAATAGTTCGAGATATCCGGATATTTGTATAATTCGAATAATCGTTATATAATATCATAAAAGACAGTATATCTTATATGTGTTATTACATTCTTCGATGATATTAAATGTAAAATCAAAGAAGAATCAACAAGTTATAAAGAGGACACACAACTAAAAGAAACGTAAAAATACCAGAAATTGATGGAAAATAATAATAAAAAAAACCCTTACAAACATTGCATTATAATTACGGACCAACTTGTACGTGTTAGTCATCATGGCTGTTTCGCCACTTTTCTTATGTGAACAACTTTTCCCACAATATTTTAAGATTCATGAAGTTTCAATCCATATGCCTGCCCCTTCCTGAATATCGACTCGTCCCAAAGAAAAGTTTACAACGATATGTATTATTGTCTTGGACATTGTTTACCACATCCAAAAGATAGTGATATAAATTAGACATGTTTCGCTCCCATTCTTTTTTCTTAATTTGTATCAAAAGGTGTTGTTCAGCTGACAAATGTGGGTTTTTTTTTTAGCAATCTTCGTAGCTGATTTAATTGGCATCAAAGAGTTTACTATATCGTATCTTTGCCATAACAAGGTGCTTGTGCAAAAGAATTGAAAACAGGGGTACATAACAACTTTAAACGTTAATCTCATTGGCTGGGAATATTACAAAATAATCGATAAGGAAAACAACCTTTTCATGCGCTTGGTTAAGGAAACCATCTGGATACGCGCAGCGGGCCAGTACTAAACAGGGACGAGAGGGGGCACAGACTCGCGCATGTTGATGACCTAGTGTTAAACAAAGCGTAGCCGAAGTAACGACTGTACATTGTTACTATCTTGTGTATTTTTTGGTCTATAATCTGTTTAACCATCTCGTCTCACGATTTTCGAACTTTGTGTACATATGAGTATAGTACAGCCGAAAAAGTTGGCCGATTACTTACCATCTCGTACTGTACATACGTGTATGTATATATATAACGTAATGATAGAAGTACTTAGCTTGTATGTTCCACATTGGTCATTTGTCTGATGAAGGTGACCGTGTAGTCATTGAAACGTCACACTTTCATTTTCTATTGATTGCGGTCTAAGAACTTCTGTTCTATCATGATGTAAAATATATGACATAGTTCGGTTTTGAGACGTTTGAATTTCGACGTCATAGAATCTGGTGGTGTATACCGAAGATCGAGTACACCAGTACACCACAATAAAATGAACGGTACTGTTCAGGTATTGGTTCTGAACTGCCAATAAGTGGTTGTGTGTTGTGTTTGTCACACTGTTTTTCAAAGTGACGTAAAGGGCATGTCAAACCGGAAACGTCATGAGGACATTGTGTAATCTGCTAGTAAACAAAAAAGTCAGTAAATATGACTGCCACGAAAGGAAAAAACAAACGCTTTATCACTGAAACGTGATATTCATTATAATCTTGCATTCTACATACACGAGGTTTTTGGTTTACGTCGTAGGCTCCCGAAGCGCCAATCAGTGAACATATATTCTTATCGTATCTTATTATACGCTCATCATACTAAACACGTTGGACCCCTGTATTCAATTTTATTATATATTTCCATCTCAAACATGAGTGTGTAAAGTTTAAAGTTAAATAGCTAGCAAAACGTGCATTTAACTCTGAACCAATACTTCTAGATATATCTCTTTTTATCAGTTGTGACATGAAAATCTAGCAATTTAATCCATTAACTCCTTAAATACTTAAATATCGACATAACTTACCACACACCGTTATGGTAATCATAACTTTTCTCTGTTCATCGAAGAAGTACTTAGCAGTATCGTATGGTAATAGAACAAATCGGTAGTAAAACGAGATTATGAACTGAACATATGTTACTCACTTACATCTAAGTACTATCCGTGATCACTATATGACTCATTAGGTGGGAAAAAACTGTTTGAACCTGCATGAGACACAGTTGATCTAGCCACAGCACAGAGATTGATATAGATGACGTTGTTAAAATGTCTAAGATGCGAGTGGCTAGTGTTCTCGTTAGATTTCATAAACAAACTGACGTATCTTCTTATGATATCGAATCTTCTGTATAAGTGCTTTACTAATGTCATTCATGGAGTTGTTCAGATGCATATTAACCAAAAGAAAGTCTTTTTCACATTTTACAAATTCACTCCTCTCTTCACATGTTCTCTAAACGACTAAATGAAAACAAATTGAAATCCGAAATTAATTGGTAATCCTACGAAATCAATTAAGTGGCTGATCTTCAACGGTCGATCGTTTCTATGTGATTTATTACCAATCAAGTTCAGCAATATGAAGTCAGTACTTTGATATCTCGAATGAATTTTTCGACAAAAGAGGAATTAAGAATCTCCTACGTACGTACACTGACTCTAATTGTTGACTTGTGACCACTTTTTAATATTTCGTACTTTTCGTCATCATCCCATTTCATTTACAATAATTGAATCAGTAGAACGTGCATGTAAATCTTATTTGAAATATTTATAACAATCCGCGGGTTCAAACAAATCTATTTCGGGGCCTTAATAGATTAGATATTCTTGTGCTATACTACTGCAACACTGCAGAAGACACTAAGTTTGACAGTTAGCAGACAATCTCGTTGATGAACATGATTGTCATTAAACTCGTTTGGAGTTCTCATAAGTTTAATTTCACAGACTTTTTATTGAAACGGTTCAGTGGATATCACGTGTTTTATGTAAATGCGTGCAGGTGAAAGGAGACACCTGAGAGAGACGTCATCATAACGGAGAAATCTGCTCAGCACCAACCACGTTTGTCATCTGCAAGGACCTCGCAATCACATTACATAATTTCATTGTGTAATCCTTTATCTCTTGAAAACGAAATTTATGGCAAGTCAACATCTCATGCGTTTCACCAAATGATATATCTATGTATCGTAATATTAGTAGAAATATTTCTGTGAGATATTTTATATGTAGAGATTAGATATTTAGTAGTAACATATTATACATTATAAATATCTCATATATTATAAACGATATCTCATGCAATTTCCATTTAAAACAACTAGAAGAACATATCAACATGTCCCGGAACATTTTCTTCGGGCTGGTCAGTACAATAGAAGATTTAAGTGTGACTACACATAATCTAATGTTCACTAAGGTCGACTATACTAAGACGAGATGGTAAACATATTAAAGAGCAAAAAAGAGAAAAAGAAAGTATACAAAATGGTCATTTCGGCTGTGCTCTATTTAATGTGCCAATGTCTGTGCACCCCCTCGTCCCTGTTAGTACTGTCCGTGTGCAGCGTGTCCAGATGTCCTCCTTGACCGAACGCCTGGAGCTTATTTTTGAATTTTTGCTGTGTGGAATGACCTGTAACATGTCAACATGAATCATGATCCAAACTCTAATTCAAATAAACTAGGACAAGATGTGAACAAAAAAAGATTAACACGAAGACTCATAAAAAAGTACAAGGAAAATAAAACTAGGTGTTCCGGAAGTGTAAGCGTCTCGCAAAACCCATGTGAGTAATGTCACGTTCCTAAACAAAAACTCGATAAACAACAAGGGAACTAACAGGTATACAAAAGGGCATCAACTACGCCCAACTTCTTATCACATAACGAAATATATTATTTCCTAGCGAAATCAGTTCGACTTGGCTAAAAATTCCCCATCAATTTCACCAATCTGCATCTCTGGAAACTCTGTATCGTGAGTCTATATATTGGGATGCAGGATTATTGCTCTCCATGATGGAGATGTTAAAATAGGTAAATAGAAAGCATTACGTTTATCATACAGCTTGGTTTAAAAACCCGTCCCTATTAATTGTTGTAGGAAAAGACCGAGGTAAGTGGTTGATGTAGAAGAGTCAGTGTGTTATGTCCTTGATTTTCAATGCAAGTAGGCATAGTCAATATATTTATTGTAATCCTATGATTTCTGTTAAAAAAATAACTGATTTTTACACATTCGTAGAAACAGGAACATGACTTGTGAAGTGTGTGAAATCGGCGGTATCTAAAATGGCTCATGATTGATACGTAATGATGTCTAATAAAAAAACAATTTCAGTAATGAGAATACTGTAGAGGCGCCGAGGGTCATCACAACACGCTAACAGTTAAAATCCTTCCTCAGATGTAAGGCTGTGCGGGTCTGCCCCACCATTTCAGGAAATGCAAATTATATTGTTCAGCTGGCTGTTGTACACCTGGGAAGGGTGATCTGTACTTGCTCCTTATGTGTTGGTACCTATGTGATGTCTCTTGGTGTTGGTTGTATTAGTTACATAGTGCTACCTGTATATCTGTTTCGTACATGTCTGGTGTTCTGTGATGCATATTATTGCTTTACAAGTAGCTTAGTTTGTATTGTATATAGTGCCCTTATCGAGGCATACTGTGCATTTTATAGTTTTGAGTGTGACCCCCTCAATTGCTGCACATTGTGTTAAATCTTGTTCACGAATGTGACCCCCTCTATTGCTGTAGATTGTTTTGAATCTTATTCACGAATGTGACCCCCTCTATTGCTGTAGATTGTGTTGAATCTTGT